TAGATTGTTTAAAATCTTTTTATACAATATTTCTCTCAAAACACAAGCATAAAACACTCTCTCTCTATTTTTTCATAACATATTTTAACTCCCACATTATTTATAACAACCATTAAAGCAAGTGATAATACCAATTCTCTCTCTATAATACTACCATTTTTCTCTCTCTCCCCATGAAACCCTAGGTCTAGTTTTGAATCAAATTTATAATGGAGAATCAACTATGAGAGGTGCACCACTATAATCTAAACCTTCTAAAATACCATGTATTGAAATCCTAAACAAAAATCTACTACCACTCTCTCTCTCTCTCTCTCTCTCAAAATACAAGCATGAAACACTCTCTCTCTCTCTCTAGCTAGATCTAGTTTTAGCTCAAAGTGAGAAGCACTAATGCAAAAAGAGCTATGAGAGGCATTAATTAACCTTCTTAAGCCACCTCCTCCAAAGAAATGAAGAGCAAAACCTCTCTCTCTCAAAACACAAGCATGAAACTCTCTCTCTCTCTCTAGCTAGATCTAGTTTAAGCTTAAAGTGAGAAGCACTAATGCAAAAAGAGCTATGAGAGGCATTAACTAACCTTCTTAAGCCACCTCCTCCAAAGAAATGAAGAGCAAAGCCTCCCCCTTGTATTTTGCGATTTTTGGACCTCCAAGTTCGCCACCAATGGAAGGTGGCTCGGCTGAACAGTGCTGGTCGGGGGAGGAAGGAGTATTTATAGCAGATGTATTAGTGGCGGTTCACATAGTTCAACCGCCAGTGTTGTTTATGTAAGCAAGCCGCCAGTGTAAATGGGCTTTACACTAGCGGTTGGCTAATGCAAACCGCTAGTGTAAATAGGCCGTTAACACTGGCGGTTTTCTTACACGAACCGCCAGTGTAAAGGCTTTTACACAGGCGGTCCTTGAGGCTGTCCCACACATTTCTCTCTACTGGCGCCACCTCTTTCCCAACCGCCAGTGAAAAAAGGGTGGCACCAAGAGAAATCACCAGTGTACTAGTGCACCAAAATTAATCTAGCATTGCAGCTACTACTGTGACACATAGAATCGATTTAATTTTTGTGAATAATGCATGTTGATGTATTTCAGTATATATGAATGCATATATGTCTCATCTTCCAACAACCAACATCACATATCACAACTTGATACTTGTATTATACTAGCTAGCAAACATATCCATATGTTGTTATAACCAGATGTACACCTTATTTCATGGTTACGTGAACGACTTGTGGGTTGTGGCTCGAAGTTTTATATAACAGTCGCGTCATTTATTCTAATATGTATTGAAATCGGACTTTAGTATTTTACAGCATCGCTGGACTCACAAACACGTGCGGTTCTACTAACTCATATGAGTACAGTCAGTGAGTCCATATCCTAGACGAGACAAGGAGACACACATGGGTCTTGGGAAGTAAAAAGGATGGATAGAATAATCCCTTAGCTCTAGAGGTGCCTGTTGATTCGCTCATATTTCACAATGTTACAATGTAATTATCAATGCCAATCGTTTTTTCTTACCTACTGCTACCTAGCATCATTCTACGAGATGCCAGTATGTGCCGCCTCTAGCCTCTAGGCTCTTTGTCTGCACGTCTCGAACCACCTGCTCATCATCGCCTCCACCAATCAAGGCACCTCTACCAATATTGCCGCCATAGGTCACCCTCGGTGTTGCCCTCATGTCTCATCTCACTCGTGGCTCCACTATTGGTCTCATCTCTTTAGTGCGAGCGCTCAGCCTAGGTTTTGGCAATAAAAGTCAGTGCAGCACCAAGTCCACCCTTGACATCACCATCGTCATCTCTGACCTCACATGCAATCTCAGTTTGATCCACTGAGAGCGCACAACCTACTTCACGTCACTGGGCGATTAGTCTGGTCAACCGTTTGTGTGCGCCTTCATAGCATCCTATGAAGTTTGTCCTCAACTATTGCTCGTCTCCTCTTTGAGCAATGGAGCGGCTACATTGCTTTGCTACGTCGTAGCATAGTCTCCCATCGTATTCTTCGATGTTTGCATCTTCACCACCGGTCCACGCCGACTATGTTCTCTGCCTCGATCGCGCCCGACACACATGGTCTTTGTGGCTCATTGGCCTTGCTCTAGATCATCTGGACCTTCATTCCTCCTCGCTTCATCTAGCACAGCCTCATCGGCAGCGTCGATGTCTCTTCCTATCCTACTTAGGGCCTGTTCGCTTGTCTGAATTCTGGAGGAATTTGGATGGTTTGGAGGAATGCTGGAGGAATTTGTGAGAGAAAACACTGTTCCGGATGAAAAAAATAAGCGGATCAAGCCGGGTTTAAGGACACGCGAACGGGGCCTTACTCTACTTTGACAACCGCGGGCTGCATCAACACCTACTACCCCTACCATTCTATGCATTTGAATTGGCATCGAGGCCCTCTCTATTGATCCTTTATACACTGATAAATAGTTGGGGCCCTCTACCTAGTACGTCTAGTATTTGCATCACTAGTATGTGCCTTCGTCCTCGATGCATTCTCGAGGCTGGCAACCCCGATGCACACGTCGTCCATGACAGATCGACTACATCATCATCGACATTGACCTTCTCCCTCGACGAATGCCTTGACGTGCCATCATATTCATCTACGGTGTCTTCTCATATGTGCCACCATCCTTATGGCACCTCCTCATGCACCCACGGCTTCATGTGTGGCTAGTGGCTACATCTACTTTGATGACATCGAAAACTCTATTGACCCATGGCTATTGTACACACAACATCATTAATCACGACTACTTGCTCTTATGTTTGGATACCTCGACCAGTGTCGGCCCCAGGGATAGGGCACGAGGTGCGACGGCCGAGGGCCCAAGCGGAGGAGGGGCCCAAGCCCAGGTATACAAACCCCAGGTCCTATAGTCCATTAGGCATTAGCAAGAAGAGAGATATAGAACTGGTCAGGCGGCCCAAAAAGACAACATCGGCATTTCTTTCCTAGTTTCCTTTCCCCACGGCCCTCGGGTAGAGAGGAGGCGAGGAGTCATGCTGCACACAACACACTATGATCGTGAGTTCGCGACGTGCGCCTTACACACGCGGTGCTGGCAAGCCGCGCCGCCGCGAAGAGCTAGACTACCAGAGACACAGACACGACGCACGAGGACGGCGACCAGGCAGGGCTCCACGACAACGACATCTTGATTCTTGGCTTCTTATAAATTGCGATCACCGATCAGTTAATTAGGCCCAAGGTATTTTTTTCCTTTTTATTTTTAATCCAAATTAATTATTTGTATAGTATTCCAGACTTCTAGCACTTTATACCCATATAGTCATATTTTTCTTCTAATTTAGATGTTAGAATTTTAGAATGTTACCTAAGAAACATTTGTTATGGGTGAGAACAGAAAACGAATATATTATTTTTTTTAATCTACATTGTTCCTCGATAATTATCATACATCTACAAATATAATGCTTAATTTGTATTGTTCCTCGATAATTATCAGACATGTTAAATTAAAAATATGTTATTGAATTTACTTTCGTTTTGTAAGTAAAATTAGCGCCTATATATTATAAGATTTTATACATGATCAAGAAAGGCCATTGCGATGAGATCATCAGAGGGCCCTTAAAATATTAGGACTGGCACTCACCTCGACAACAACACAAAGGGCTATCGCCTTACTTGAGCAATCTTGTTGGCTTCTACTCCAACCACACAATCCGCGACGTTTCGACAACTATATTGACCCAGAAGGCTCAACGCTATATCGACTAGTCCACCAATTATAGTCTCCTATACTAATGCAGGTGCAATACCTCTCGAATGCCATCCACGTGTCCTGATGTTGTGCTGGTCCTTATGCAGCGCTGCAACCCTTGGTCCATTGGGCCTCCCCATATTTTCTCGAATACCTCTCGAATGCCATCCACGTGTCCTGAGCGGTGCTGCATAGGCAATGATTTACACCAAGCTTTCACTCAAAGAATTTTTCCATTATAGTCCCCGAGCATGCAAGATGGGGAAAAAAATCGCCAGGGACGTTCCGTTGGATCAGTAACCAATGCGTGGTATCCATCGTGGGTTTGCCATACGTGTCCATGTGTATGCAAGAGTTGTAGCTTTTTTTCTTTTCTAACTATTCCTTCTAAATTCAAGCAATAATTCCATACATTGGATGCATGCATATGCATACGTGTCGCGAACTCACTATGAGTTTCCATGCATGATTGCTCTAGAGGAGCCGTCCCCACTGGACTTCTTTCCCTAACACACAAAGCCATGCCACAAGTCAACAAATCTGTTGTTTGTGCGCATGCACCACCGCTAACAAGATTGATGGACCCATTAGCAGGGATGGGACTGTGGGGGAGTAAATCAAACACGTTCAGAAATGGTTTCAGCTTATTCGAATTATGAGCTCGTTTGGTTGGGTTCACGAAGGCTCCGGCTCCCTTGCTCGGCTGTTGCTGCACTGTATAAGAGCTTTGGCTCCTCATCAATAGCATATAACAGGAGACGCCAAAGCCAGCATTTTGGGCTCTGCCGGCTCCTCCACAATACCGCTACAGCCGACGCCGGACGAAGCCCCTCCAAACGACCAAACATGGTCTAACAAGCAGATTATTGTATCTTTCCAAACAATTTTCTTCATAGCTTACTGACCTGCTTTGCCAGATGGCACCCATAAAATTCTAAAGTTGTATTTACTTTTAATTTACCTAAAGTTTATTTTTAAACACAATACAAACATAAAATTCTTACTTGCACGGATGCACACCCAACCATATCAATATGTGCGTGCATTATTCTCTACTCCTATGACCACCTTTAAGGACAGCTTCAACATCCGGAAGGAGGTGCATTGAGAATCTTTGAGGTGCTAGCACTTTGCTAAATTATCGTGCATGAGCGCACGTGTGGAAGTGGTACAAATTAAAACGATACTTCTCCCAAACAAGCTAGCTCACTGGCTCACTGCTAGCTAGATGTTCGATCCCTCTTGTCTCTTCAAGCTCCGACCTTGTGCAACTCCTGCGCATGCACGGCTCGCCGGTGGCTGGCCTGGCAGCCGTGGGCGTCGGAGAAGTACTTGCCGAGATCCCTCGTCATGAACCCGCCCGCGCGCTCCCGCGGCTGCGGCGGCGTCGGCATCCTCTTGATCGACCACGCCGCCGCGAAGCCGTAGTCCGATGGTGACCCGCACGCCACCAGCTGCTCGGCGATGGTATCCTCGGCGATGGTGTCCAGGCACCACGGCACCTTCCTCCGCCGCATGACCGACACCACCGGCGGCGGTGCCACCTCCGTCATGAACCTCGCCGCCGCCACCTGCGCCTTCGCCATGATCGACGAGATGACAAACACACACAACAAGTCGGTAGTATCTCTACTCGCTCCAGTGTTGTTGTGTATGTATACGTCTTGTCAATTGCACGATGTGTTGTGAGCAGTGCTTGGCGATGGAAGCTCATATTTATAGTGAGCGCCAGCACCCAGCTACGCCTACGCGCGACGCCATGGGCCATACGGTAGCGAGACGTGGACAGCGCCGTCGCCTCTCGGAGGCGCATCGCACAGCTGTGCGAACCCAGTTTGCTTGCACGTCAAGACGCTAGCTGCCTCCCTGCCTGCAAATCCCAAGCGAACGCCATACGGGCCGGCCGGCCGCCGTGCGCGCGCGGGCAAGGCTATATCTGGCGGCACGCAAGCACGCACATGCCTACGCCTCGCTCTCGGCGTTCGGCGGTGACTGCGCGAGCGCCGAGAGTTCAACGGCGGAGTTAATTCGGCGCGTGTCGCGGCGCGGGCGCGTCGGCGTCCGTCGCTGCCGCCGGGCGAATGGCGCCTTTTTGGTTTAACGAGCGACGCCGACGGGGCGCCGGCCGCGCGGCGAGACGTGGCGGGGGCGCCGTGTGGTGCGGGGCTCCGCGCGGTCCGCGTGTGGCCATGGTCCGCGCAGGGAACGCTTGGCCTATCGACGACGGTTGGCGATCGGAGCGCACGGGCGGCAGCGCGCGCGTCGTTCTCCGTTCATGCGGGCCATGTGGGCGCGCGCGGGCACGGCCGGCGTTATCCGCGTGCGGAAGCGTGTGAGATGTGTGCTGCGATGTCGTGCACTGTAGGGCACGCGAACATTTTTTTTTTCTTCAGGACAGTGGCACCGCACCATGGTGACCATCGAATGAGAGATCATTGACAGTAGAAAGTTGAAAGGAGACATTGCAAACAAAGGGCCTGTTTGGATCGCAGGGCTACAATTTAGACAACCTTGTGAAAACATGAGGTAATTATGGGTTAATAAAGGCCAATGGACTCTAAGTACAAATTAGCCCTCATTAGCTCTTAGTATCTTAGAATTAGCTCATATTTAGGCTTTCTAATTGGTATCCAAAAACATGGGCTAATTATTAGGTCACTGTTCCAAACATCCCCTAAATGTAGCGGAGACAATGACACAAATGAATGGAGAAAATGGTTAGTGATTTTATTATTGTACGACCTCAGTATGCGAAGCCGCACACACTCGTGAGAAGCCTCATACTAGAATGCAATCATTTAGAATGATCGGTGGAGAATGCCACAAAAGTCTTATCAAAGACTTCCACAAATGGTTGTACCAACTTGCAAGCGCATAAAGCCCACCAATGATCTGGTATTTGGAAACATTTAAAATACAAACCAATACCTCGTATGTCATGGAGACATCTAGATATTCTTACCCTCCAATCCAACGATGTTAGTACGTGCATGCATAATTGATCTCTAATTCTATTGGGCCGCTTCTCCTCCCTTTACTGCATGCAACTGATAACGGCTCCACTAAAATAAAGGAAGATGGCACGTGTGAGTTAGAAAACAAAGCTTTATTACATCTACATGCTAGCTACTAATCCCTCCGTAAAAAAAAACGTAATTCTAGCTCTGAACCTGGACACGCCTTGCCTATTCCGGTATCTTGCTTGGTGAGGTAAGGTGAGCTTCAGCAAAGGAACAGTTGTTAGAGTTTGCTAGGCAGATTAATCTCACAATGTTTGGTCACTACTTGTTTTTCAGCTTAATTTATTATTTATTGTGTTTTGTTTTGGCAGTTGAAAACGAAGACGAGAGAGCCCAAGGAGTCACTCCTGGATACACTTTAGCATGTCTTTGCAATATCTTTGCATCTTCCAATGGCACATTCATCCTAAGTACCTTTTGGCAATGCCCTTACAGTATGCACTCATGTGAGCTGCAAGTCTCGGACAACAGTTAGCCACTTATATATGTACTCTTCCCATATTCTTTATGCAGCATTGTCACTGATTTGTCTGGAAAGGAGACACTCGCTCGTGTCAGTAGTATGATCCTATCTTTTAGTATTTGTTATTGTGTATAATAATACCATACGATGCTTGAAACAAAATCCAAGTTTACCTAATCTCGGGCAGGGGGCATGAAGGTCAAACTTGATCGTGATGAGCCATCGCCTTATGCTTCTCAGTTCTCAGGATGCTGCACAGTGATGCACATTATTGTCTGACTGGGCAGTTTATGTTCTTTGAATATACTCCATTTATTCATGTCTGCGCATTAAGACCCTTTCTAATGCAGAATTATTTTTCCTCATTTTCTATGGAAAATAAACTGATTTTTGTGAAATTCCCATATGGTTCCTATAAAATTCTTGCGGATCATTGGTCATGCATTTGGAACTCAGGAAAATTTTCAGTGGCAAAAGCCTATAAACATCTGAGTGGTCACAATACAGTGCATCCAGGGTTCAAGTGGATTTGGAATAGTTCTTGTCAGAATAAACATAAGGTTTTCTGCTGGTTAATCCTAACAGAAATAGCACTAGGCAATTATTGAAAAGGAAAAATATGGAACTCCCAGATTTTAATTGTGTTCTGTGCAATGATCGGGTGGAAGAGTCTTTGAGTCACCTATTGCTGCATTGTCCATTTGCTACAGCCTGCTGGAACTGGCTAAATGTTCAGGTGATGCATCAATCAGATGCATTTCAGAATCTAGAGAGCTTCAAATCCCAGCTCCAAGTACTCCCTCCGTCCAGAAAAGAATACAATTATGGGATCCATGTCGGTCAAAGTAGCTTAAGTTTGACCAAGTTTATAGCAAATAGTATTAATATTTATGTCTCTAAACAAATTATTATGAAAATATATTCTATGACTAATCTAATGATACTAATTTTGTATCAGAAATGTTAGTATTTTTTTATATAATTTTAGTTAAATTTCAAACTGATTGACTTCTCGGGAAGCGAGAATCACATTCTTTTGTGGATGGAGGAAGTACCTTTCTTCATGGAGATTATCATCCTGTTGGTCAATCTGGAAAACTAGAAACGGTCTCATCTTCAATCAAGTCCTGCCATCCTTGGAAGAGACAGAGAGGATCTTCAAGTCTGAATTTGCACTGATGCTGTGGCGTGCAAGGAGAAGTTACTTCCTTCTTATTGAATTATGGATAAACAATCTTCCCTCTTAGTGTCCCGGATTTTTTTCCTGTCTTTTTTTGTTTCTTGAGCTACCCTTGTAATAACCTTTCAGTTTTATTTTAATTAATCCCACAGTAGGGGCTCACCCCTCCTGTTTTGCCTAAAAAAAATTCTTGCGTTCCAAAGGACCAAAGTTATGCTGTGTTGGGAGCCAGAAAACAAGGCTACTGAACCTGGTGATCAGTCTGCTATTAGGGCACTGAGCTCGATCATCTGACATGAAAAAATTGAACGAATTGGTAAATTCTCTCGCCCAACTGCATATACAAACTGAAGTTTTTTTTGTTCTTTTCTATATATACTGTTGTTTGCTGGTTCTGTCTAGCTACACCAAATTTGCTTTACATAACATGACAGCAGTATTTACATAATGAATAATCATATAGGCATTGCAGCAATTTGATGTCCCCCTTTTTAACAGAGGATGTGACTCTTGTCCTGTTCCAGCTGACAGCACTCGCAGGCCGGGTGGTAGGAGAGGAAGGAGGCTGTAAAAATGTCTTCTTTTCCGCATTCTCGTGGATGTCATGTCACCAAGAATCTTTGGTTAAGAGCATTTATATAGTCTTACTTATAGGTTTAAAATGTTCTGAGGATTTTCTGGGTTTGCCCACTGCTCTGAATTACAGACTAGGTGTATCTGCCAATTCAGCAACAAATTTTGGTTAAGGAAGGTATGGTCACATTTATAGAAGCAATCTCTGGATATTTTGACTCTGGTGGGGCTGTCTCTCTTGAAAAATTCATTGCATTTTCATCTCAGTTATGCAATGCTCCATTGTTGCATTTCCCGTTTGCAGGCTTGCAGCAACCGATTCTATCAGAATCAGTTCAGTATCGGCAAGAACGTGGCGGTTCCTCAAACCAAAACGTTTTAACCAAAGATTATGGCAATCCAATGCTGTCAGCACCATGATCAGCTGATCTCAGTCCAGCATTTAATTAAATTTGTGTTTTTTCTGCTGAATTGCAACGAACACGAAAGATACACTTTGTTCACAATCACACACAGTTTCAGTTTGTTACACGACGAGGAAGAACCACTGCCTGCCATCCAGTGTTTTTTCAATTTCAGAACTCAGAAGGCAAGCGAGGCGTAGGCAACGCACCCTGCAACCGAGGCGACGAGGCCTGCCACGGCGAGTCCACCAGCACCAGCGCAGTTGCTGTCGTTGCCGGCGGCGGGAGGGGCGCCCTTGGCCGTGGAGTTCTTGGCGGCGGGAGCCTTAGGCGAGGCAGGCGGCACCGGAGCGCCGCCGCTGGAGGGAGCCGGCGCGGACGTCGACGGCGAGGGAGAGCCGGAGCCCTGCTGGGCGGCCGGGGCCGGAGCGATGGCGCCGCCGCTGCCGGCGACCATGACGATGAGCTTCTCGTTGGCGCGGCAGTTGGCCTCGACGCCGCTGATGAAGAAGAAAGCGCCGGCGCGGTCCAGCGCGAAGGACGTGCTGCCGTCGTCGAACTGCTTGTCGTAGGAGGAGGTGTTGCAGGCGTTGTAGTCCGCCGGCTCCACCAGGAGCACGGAGTCCTTGTCCTTGGGGTACACGAACACTACGGGCACGGACGGCGCGGGTTGCGAGAGCAAGAACAATGCAAAGATCACTCACGAGCTGAGACGATGCGCAATGTGTAATGCTCAGACGCAAATGTGTGTGTGGGTGACTCACAGAGGCTGTCGCCGATCTGGAAGCTGGTCTTCTCCGCCCAGGTGTTGAAGGACTCGGCGGCGGCGGCCGGCACGGCCCAGCCATTGTCGCCGCCGACCTTGTACTGCGTGGCGCCGGCGGCCGCCGCCAGGAGCACGAAGCTGGCCAGCCCCAGCAGACGACAAGATGATGAGCTCGCCATGGCTACAGCTGCAAGCCACAGATCAACAAGCTAACGTTTGTGCTGTACTGCTGTCCCTATGCCTGCAACTTCGAGGCTGCCGCCACAACGGATATGTGATGTCAAGTCTTGGGGCAAGAGCAAGAACGCAACGGATATTTGTCGGCAAACGGCGCGTAGTCTCCCCTCTCTGCGACTGCGCCTGCCGTCCTGCTGCCCCAAGATCGAGGCTTTGCAGGCTGTGGGGTACCTTTGCTTTGGGTGGTCGGTCAGCAACGTGTTCGTTTGGCTGTGGCTCGTCGTAAATGATCGTAAATTTTTAACTAAAATAGTATTTTTTTCTCACACAAACCAGCTAACAGTACTTCTTCATAAACCATTAACGAAACAAACCAGCCGACCGAACATGCTGCAGGTCTCCACCTCGAGCGATGCTCTGCAGGGTGCAGAGCACGTGCTGCGGCTTCACCTTTTGCTGCGTGCGTGCGTGTGTCATCGTGTGCTAACCCATGGAGCATTTGCCGTTGGCGTTGCCTTTGGGAGGAGGAATTGATGCTTCCCATCCATCCCCACAAACGGCCATGGAATGGAAAAGGTGATGGCTTGTTTCGTTTCGTCTGCCTGTTTTGTGGTCCAGAGTTCAGTACGGAGTAGCTGATAGATCGATGGTCAATGGGCAATGCAGTTTTGGTTAGGAGGAAGCCTCTACTCTGGGTACCGTACACTACTCCTACACATGCAAGGATGCAACTGTTGCTAGTCTTTTCTGGTGTTCGATGTCAGAGGGGCGGGAAGAAAAGAAAAAAAAAATAGCGTTACAGGACTCTGCAACTTGGCAAAATATTGAGTGCAAACTGGGTTCTCGATGCAACCCTGCAAACTCAGCTGTGCATCGTCCGATCTGAAATGTGCGGCACACATGAATGGCTCTTGCTCCTAGCAAATTTTCTGTGTAACCCCCCGCCTCCACATAGACCATTTTACATGGAACACCCTGATCGAAGGAACATAAGTACAACAGTCCTCCCATCTCCTATCTCCCATCTCTAGACCGCCTCCAGCAGCTCCAAACCTCCGGTCCTCCACCATGCCTCCGCCCAGGTCCACCGTCTAGGGTTCAGGCCAGGGTGAAGATTCCTCACCATTCCACTAGACATCCCCACTTTAATCGCCTCAGGCTGTGCATCTACTGGATGTGTCTTTATTAAGGATCGTGTGTTCGAGATCTGATGCTTCTGCTTCTGCTTCTGCATACACGGTGGCTTAAGTGGTAACCAGCTCGCGTGATTAACTTCTTCCCTTCATTGCTCCTAGCCTGATTTAAGTGGTAACTAGCTCGCACGATTAACTTCTTCATGGTCATACCAGGTAAGTCTATGGAGCCTGGAGGTGGTTTAGATCTCACGGAATTTCCAGCTCTCCTCTTTCTATTAATCATAACCTTGTATGCTTGATTCTTTTATTAATACATGTTAATTATAATTAGGATGAAACACCGCGTGATACTTTGTTTCCTTCTCAGATTTAACACCAGTCACATGGCCTCCAATCTGAAAGAACATGTCCTCGTGTCAATTTAGTGACTAGAACTGTAAATGCAGGTGAAAATTTTGTCTTCTGCAGCAGAAAAATAACGTATCCATTTTCTAATTCACTTTTGATTCTTATAGTTATGCTAACTGAACTTCTCTGAACCTTTTTCTGTCTGTCTTCAGAGTTCTACAAATCTGCTACATTTATCTTGATTTTACTCAAGCAAGCCCCAATTTTCTCAGAACTGTTATTTTATTTTTACATTGTCAAGTCAATATATTTCGAAAAGTCATTGTCTCGGAACTGATAATACGTTGGGCCGAGGCATGGTGGAGGACCGGGGGCGAGGCATGGTGGAGGCCCGGAAGTCTAGAGCTGCTGGAGGCGGTCTAGATATGGGAGATGGAAGGACTGTTGTACAAATGTTCCTTCGAATGGGGTGTTCCATGTAAAATGCTCTATGTGGAGGCGGGGGTTACACAGTCGGAGCATGAACGATTCATGTGCGCCTCACATTCCAGATCAGATGATACGCAGCTGAGTTTGCAAGGTTGCACTGAGAACCAGTTTGCACTGAATATTTTACCCTGCAACTTCACTGGGCCACCCAGAAAAGCAACAAACCACAATGGGCCGTAACTGTGACAGCCTGTTTTTAAACTCGGGCTGATTTTAAGGCTCAGAAAACAAAAATAGGAGGATGCTCTGCTCCCGGGCCCCTGAGTCTGTGAGCCCAAGAAACTGGATGAATTCTCTTCTAATTAGTTCCGTACAGTTGATTTGTTCAGAAAAATCCGTACAGTTCAATTAAGGTTTTGTTTGGGTGTGCTTGTATCCACATTATCCACATATTAGGGTGCATCAAGGTCTAACAACTTAGTTTAGTTTTCACTTAAATACATCCCAACACATGTGGATATATGGCTTGACGTGGATATGAGTCTAGCCATAAAAAGTCCTAAGGTGTTTCTTCCTCTTTCCTTTTTTTTTTTTTTTTTGCCGAAACGCTATGATCCCCTTCGAGGTCATGTCATTGTTTTTACATAGGCTGCTCCTCTCCTTCGGCAAGGCTCATCGTCGTTACCCTGCCAGGGCTCGGTCGAGGAAAGAAGCCTGAATCCAGCCGGTGGCGCGGCTGCTTTTTGTTTTTAGGTGCAGATTTGGACTTGATTTTTTTTATATGAAACTGGAGGGGAGACTTCCCCTACAGAAATTTATTAAAATTGAAAATAGTACAGTACAAGGCTAAACTGAACAAAAGAACAGGGTTCAGGAAACAAAGAAAGAGAAGAAAAAAATTAGCCTAATCAAGAAGATTACAACAGATTTTGGATCATAAATCAAAGGTGACTGAAACTTTAGCCTTGGCTCTTAGGGAGAGCAAAGACAACTCCTTTTTGAATGTTTCTTTGTCTGCTTGAACACTTGGTTGGACATTCTTGAATATGAAGTCATTTCTCACTGTCCAAATTGCCTAGCACATGAGAATTGCAACCATCACGTAGAAAACGGGATGAGATTGAATTTTGAGCTGTGTGACGCAATCTGAGATGTTTAGCCCCATCTGAAATGAAGTGCCCAGCAGGTTCCAACAATCTTTTGCAAAAGGACATTCAATGAAAAGATGCTCACAGGTTTTCTCCATCGACAGCTGACATAGATCACAGTGATAAGAGTCCAATTGCATATTTTTCCTCATTAGAATGTTCTTTCTGTTTAGTCTGTCTTTTAGTAATAACCAAAAAAAAAATACCTTATGTTTTGGCTGGCAAAAGCTTCTCCAAAGCCAACTGTAAATCTAGGGAACATTTGTTTGACCCATCAGTGATCTGTAAGCTTTTGAGGCTGAATAATCCCCCCAATTGGATGACCATTTATCATGTTGATCTGTCAGGGGAAACTGATCAATAAAGGATTGTATTAGTTGTAACTGTTGGAAAGCTTCTGCAGATAGGGAAAGACTGAAAATCTCTTGCAGTTGCTGATGAGCATAGAAGTTTGTGACAGACAAATTGTTGTTCAGGGCAAAAGAATAGAGCTCAGGGTAATCATCTTTCAGAGGTTGCTGTAACCATTTGTCATGCCAGGAAAGGCATGTATCACCATTTTGTACCTGAACCATGGAGAAGGATTTGAAAGTCTCTAGTAACTTCAGAATGTCTCTCCGCCAAAATGACCCTCTACATGTTGAATTATTTGGAAGCTTTCCATTACTGTAATGTTTTTTCCCAAATTAAAGAAACCCATGGGATATCCTTTTTATTAAAGAATTTGTCCAAGTTTATCATTAGAAGGGCCTCATTTTGCTTTTCCATATTTATTACCCCTAGCCCACCCTCTTCTTTGGGGACACAGACCATTTCCCAAGCTGCTTTTGGAGGTTTTCTTGAGTTAATATCAGCCCCCTCTATAGACAATGCTTTTTGAATTTGTCAATTTGTTTGATTACTCCTTTAGGCAGTGATAGACCACACATGTGGAATGTAGGTAGAGCAGAAAAAACAGCATTTGTTAGTTCAAGTTTTCCTGCATGAGATAGGAAAGAAGATGTGCAAACTAATCTTCTCTCACACTTGGTTACAAGGGGCGGGAAGTCCTCAACTTTTGGTTTGGTGGTCCTAAGAGATAGACCAAGGTAGGTGAAGGGGAATGATTTTTTTGAGCATCCAAAGGGACTGGCCAGGTGGTTAAACTTCTCAGGAGGGATGTTGATTGGGAGCATCATTGATTTGTTATAGTTGACTTTTAACCCAGTAGATTCAGAAAAGGATTGAAGCACTAACTTTAGAAAATAGAGTTGCCTAGCATCCCCTTCCATCACAATGAGGGCATTATCAGCATACTAGATTACAGGAAAGTCAGGGTGAAAGGTCCTAATATGGCTAGAGTGGGTTGAATAGCCTATTTAAAAATCTACAAGATCACTAGAGCAATTTGATTAGTATAACAAATGGCGAAATACAAACTTACTCTAACTCTACAAGGGTTGCAAGCCACTTATCCAACAATTCTAATTGCTATGATCACTAGACACACAAGAGGCTAAGTCACTACACACTAAGAGCTCTCACACTTGCTACACTAAAGAGCTACACTACATGAACTTGGGCTACAAAGAAAGCTCTCAATTCTAGCTACACTAAAGAGCTTGCTATAACTAGTTTACGGGAATGTAAATGAGTGAGTAGAGTGATTATACCGCCGCGTAGAGGAATGAACCAATCACAAGATGAATACCAATTCAATCACCGGGAGAATACCGAAGGGCAAGAGACAATCAATTTTTCTCCTGAGGTTCACGTGCTTGCCGGCACGCTAGTCCCCGTTGCGTCGACCAACACTTGGTGGTTCAGCGGCTAAGAGGTGTTGCACGAACCTCGTCCACACAATTGGACACCGCAAGAACCTACCCACAAGTGAGGTAACTCAATGACACGAGCAATCCACTAGACTTACCTTTCAGCTCTCCGCCGGGGAAGACACAAAAACCCTCACATTCACCGGGAGATGACCACGAACAATCATCAACTCATGCCAATCCTCCTTCACTGCCCCAAGACGTCTAGGTGGCGGCAACCACCAAGAGAAATAAGAAATCCATAGTCACAACAATCCCCAAGTACCACTAGATGCAATCACTCAAGCAAATGCACATGGAATCACTCACAATCTCACTATAATGATGAATCAATGATGGAGATGAGTGGGAGATGTTTGCTTAGGCTCACAAGGATGTCAAATATATCAAAGTGCCAAAAGAAATGCCTTGGAGCCGGCCAAACACTATTTATAGACGTCCCCAAACGAATAGAGCCGTTAGAGCTAAGGGAGGCCGTTCTGCGTACTGACATGACGCGCCGGTCTAGTTGACCGGACGCGCCCGAGCCAGCGTCCGGTTGCAGATCTCGCGCCACGTGTCACCTCTTTGAACTTGCGCCGTTGATCTCCAACGGTCGAAAAACGGTCAGCGCGATTCGTTAAGTAAAGACCGGACGCGCTCCTCCACTGCGCGAAGCCGAGTCAAATCATTTCCAAAGACGATCCAGAGCGCTTAAATCGTGACCGGACGTGTCAGGTCAGGGATGACCGGACACGTCGGTGAGTCCGGTCAGCACAGCATTCTTCACCGCGCGCTCTCGCTGCTGACGTTAGCGTACGTCAGCCACGACCTGACGTATGCCGTGCGTGTCCGGTCGCAAGTCCGCTCGATCAAAAAAGTGACTTGATCTTCATCAGCAGGTTCCACTCGTGGTAGTTCGACTTGGTGAGCATCGACCATGGTGTTCCCGCTCTGGAGTCGCGATAGACCATCTGCAGCATCGGGGAGAGACCGCGGCGACCACGACGCCGCTCTGGTGACGGCGACTGGCGGCGACGCTCGTCCAGGCTGCGGGACCCTCCTCCCGCTGGCTCCGGCTCCTCCCGCTCCATCTCAGCACACATCGCCGCGGCTGCAGCCACCGCGGCCTAGGCCGCAGCCACTGCCTCTGCTTCTGCGGCAGCAAGGCGCGTCGCGCGGTCGTCGGCTCCTGCTCCGGCCCTGGTGCCGGCAGCAGCGCGGGCTCTGATGATTTGGCTGGCGGTGGACATGGCTCTCTGCTCACTCAAGAACACAAGGCTCTGATACCAATTTTTGACCCAAATAGATCTTGACCCAAATAGATCTCAGATTCAGATTTGGGAACTACCAGAAGGCAGCTTGGCCCTTGGCCGCTTGGATTGAAGGAAATGCAATGGCTTGGTTTTTACAATGACACTCTCTTGCCTTTTATAGGCACGGGGACTCCCACTTGATACAGCATATTCTAACCACTAAAGTGGATGCTGAGCATATTCCTACTACTAGGCTTGGAAGCCAAGGAAAGTAAAAGTGCAGGAAAAGTAAGATACAAATGATTTAGCACAGGAAAATTCTGAAAATAACCAACAGTCCATAAGCAATATGCTGCACGCGTATGAAAAATCCAAAATTATCATACCCTTAAGCAGTATTGAACTACATCAATGCCTGCTGAATACATATTATAAATCAGCTAACTCATCTATAGAGTACAGAAACCAGGATACTTGACAAGCTGACGAGATAGAAGCAAACTTCAGATATGATTTCAGAAAACCTAAAATGGTGGTTTGTATCCAATCTATAATCAGAGAAATTCTGAAATGCTTCTTACAGCACAAAGTTCAACATGTCACAACACATATTCAGAGATATTTCATTTTAAGCTATGCTAATTCGGTGGTAGTGGTTGAATGAACACTTAATATTTTAACTGAAGTAAATCCGCACTGTGCAACTCACACTTCTGAGCTTTTAGCCTTGAAATAGATAGCAATTATGCATTTTACCTGATACTTATCGCAGATCGGAGCTGAATGGAAAGGATGAGTAATTTACCCTGTCTCCAAATGTGAAGCTTCAGAGTTGGGAACTTTAGTATGAAGAGATCTGTATAAAAAAAGGGGGAAGAAAATGCTTTGCTTATGAGAGTTGGGAACTTTATAATGTCTAAGGTTAGAGCTGAATGCTTTGCTTATAATGTCTAAGGTTGCAAGAAAATATAGTATTTGATAACTTATCACACCAAAATTGATCAAAACAATAATTTACCTGCAAAGGCACTCAATAGAATCCTTGTTGCTCAGATCACACAGACGATGCAGTAACTGTCAAAAGCATGATCCATGTAATTTTTGTTCAAAAGAGGATAGTTCAAACAGAATATAGTTTATTTAAGAATATAATCACATCTATAGGAATGTGCTTGACGAAACCCACACAAACAAATAGGACACGTGATCTATGCATTTATCAATCTTCCGGTGCTGTATTTCTTTTCTAAACTGGAATTCAGTTGAAAACAAAGCTGCAAATATTGTACTCCTTTCCGGTTAGTATTGACATGGCCAACTAACTGTGTCTTAAACAAATTAGATAGTGCTCATGAAACATAACTCTAAGAATCAGCATTAGGGAGGAAGGGGATGGAAGAGAAAAAAAATCAATACCTAAGGGAGATCCAGCAGGGGCGAGCCGAGGTACTGATGCCGTGTGCTTTCCGGCAAGTCACGGTCTCACGGAAGGGAAGCGGCGCAGATGGGCGACGGCACGAACGCGGATGACCTACGACGCAGACGGGCTATGGCAGCGCGGACGGGCAGGGCAGGATGGGCATTCAAAAAGAAACAATTGGATGAGGTTAGGGGAGGGGTGAGACGCAGCTTACCAGCCAGGCTCCTCGAACCCTTACCTAGATGCTGGAGGCCACAGCCGCGGGAGGAGAGCGTGCTTCTTCGGCTGCTCGGAGCTCCTTCAACGGTCTTCTCTTTCGCGGTGCTCATTCCCCTAGGTTCTCGGAGCAGCAGAGCAGGGAAGGGCGTGGCGGGGCGACGGCGGCGCGGGATGTGGCCGGACGAAGGCGGCGCGGCGACAGAGTGGACTGCACGAGCCCTTGCGGTGGTGGAGTGGAGCGCACGGCCGTTGCGGCGTTGAGGAGGCGGAGTGGAGCGCGGGCGCCCTAGCGGCGGCGAGGCGGCAGAGCGGAGCGCCGGCTTGGGCCTTGCGGCAGCGAGGCGGCAGAGCGGAGCGCTGGCTTGGGCGGTGCGCTCGGGAGGATGGACGGCGTGTGGCACGGAGTTGGGAGGATGCGGATGTGGGACAAGAGTGGGAGTCGCGGGGTCGTGCGTGTGGCCCACCTGTCGGCGCTAACAGGAGTTAGGTGCTCGTGGCATAGCGGCCTCACCACGGAATGTGAACGGGTCCTCTTTCGTCTCTGAGACAATTAGTATGTCTTTATTAAAAAAAAAGATCGCGATCTTTCTCTCATATGCTCGAAAAAGTTCAAGTGGTCTTGGCATCATCGTTCCAACTTTTTGTGTCCTCTATGCCGCTTCCCGTCAGTTTGGGCTTTAACACCGTCAAACTGCAAGTGTGAAAAAGACAAAAATGCCCTCAAGTGTAAATATGTCATTAATTTTTTTTAGCATCTTAACGACTTCAAATGAAAAAACTCAAAACTAGAAAGTTGTAGATCTCGTCGAGATCTATAATTTTTATATAAAAATTATTTTTATTTAATTCCACAAAAGAATATGATTTGATATGATTAATATATTTTAGAAAAATCATATTATTTTTTTTACGGAATTAAATGAAAATAATTTTTATATGAAATTTATAGATCTCGACGAGATATATAACTTTGTAGTTTTGAGTTTTTTCATTTGAAGTCGTTAAGATGCTCAAAAAATTAATGACATATTTACACTTAAGGGCATTTTCGTCTTTTCACATCTGCGGTTTGACGGCGTTAGAGCCTAAACTGACGGAAGTGGCATGGAGGGCACGAAAAAAGAGTAGTAATGCTTGAAGACCGCTAACTTTTTCAGGAGGACATGAGGCATTGCAATCTTTTTTAATGGCACATAGGGAATTCCCCCTTCATCTTTTTAGGAGTAGAGATTCTTCGACGAAAACAAGCACTGTAGCTGCACCACTTGGTACCACTAAATATCTCTTATAGAAAGACGGTAGTAGGAAACAAGTTAACAAAGTGGCAGCATAGTAGCTAGAATAGCGAACATTCATTTAACAGTGGGAAGGATGCCTTTTTTTGCTTGTTAAAAAATAATGAATACTTCTATGTAAACTCAATGTATAGATACCAATATCAACACAAGGTTGTATGTGTCCCAAAAAATTGACGGTTCAATATACCGCTAAAAGTAAAAAAAAAATTATGGGGTTCCGAAAGAGGAGGGGGGATTTACTCTTACAAAAGACAATTTAGCAAGAAAAAACTGGAATGGAAATAAATTGTGTGCTTTCTGCTGGACGAATGAAACTATCCAGCATCTCTTTTGATTGCATATACGCTTACTCTGTTCTAGGGCTGAAACCTCCTAGAGATGTACACAACCTTTTTTTATGCATGATACAAACATGGTACACGTTCAAATAAAGTCCTTAGTGTTGATAGAATGGGTAGTTATTTGTTGAACAATATATCTTATAAAAAATTGAAGTCATTTTTGACAAATATCGACGTAAAACTTTTGTAGATACTGTTTAGAAAAACTCATTGGTTGAGCCATTCGGCGCAATTGCAGCAACGTAAAAATAAAAGGAACACATCTTCCAAGTTTGTCAATCACTAGAGACCGTCGTGATGAACTTCTTTATCTACTTTGGATGGCCAATTAATTTTAAAATTGAGTTTTGAGTTTGACACTTGTGGTTTTTTACTTAAAATTATAATAATTGGTTTGAATCTCTTGGTTTCGAGAGATAGCCGGATTTGTTTCCTTCATAAAAAAATTTCCAAATTCTAGGCATAATGAACCGTTGATTTCTTATTCATCCGGCGGATAACGAATTTCTTATTCATCTGGTGGAAAACGAATGCAAGATTTAGCACAACATGCACAAATCGCATGTCTTTAGTTACATGTAAACACATATTTACTCGAGTCTTCCGTTCGTTGTATCGTGTTAGTGTCCACAGTCCACTTCGCTTCAGAGAGCAAGCATGGTGTAGCCAAGGATGCAGGCCCCGAAGGAGCTGGCCAAGCCTGTGGCCACCGTGAGGGCGGCGCCGTTCTTGTCCTTGGAGCCGGCGGGAGGCGACGATGCCGTGCCCGTCGAGTTAGTCGTCGACCCATGTGCGCTCGGAGCCGGAGAGCTCGCCGAGGGCGCCGGTGGGGTTGACGACGCCGGAGGAGGCGACGACGCGCTCGGAGCAGGGGGTGACGACGATGCGGCCGGCGGCGTTCTCGGTGTCTTGGTGGGAGCAGAGGCCGGAGGCGGAGCCGAATTGGCTGGCGGCGCCGGTGGCGACGCCGTGGTCGGGGCGCCCTTAGGAGCGGGCGACGACGGCGGGGGCGGGGTGGAGCTAGCGGGAGGGGGCGATGCTGGTGACGCCGGCGGCGGCGCCGTGCTCGGAGCCTGCGCGCCGCCGCCGGTGCCGTTGCTGCGGGCGGCGAGGACCATGACGATGAGCTTCTCGTTGGCGCGGCAGTTGGCCTCCACGCCGCTGATGAAGAAGAGCGGGCCGGAGCGGTCGAGCGTGACCACGGTGTCGCCGTCGTCGAACTTCTTCACGTACGACGACGTGTTGCAGGCGTTGTAGTCCGCCGGCTCCACCAGCAGCACCGAGTCCTGGTCCTTGGGGTACACGAACACTACGGGCACAAGCAAAAACCGTCAATGGCGTCGTGCACGGCGTATGCATTGGACATTTGAACATGCATGTAAACCAATCTCAATTTACCTAGGGAGTCTCCGATCTCAAACCTCGTCCTCTCCGCCCAAGTGTTGAAGGGCTCCGCGCCGGCGGTGGGCACGCTCCAGCCATTGGCGCCGCCGACCGTGAACTGCGTTCCGCCGGCGACCGCAGCGGCAATGGCGAAGCAAGCAAACGCAAGACCGTAGCTACTTGACTTCGCCATGGGTGAGAAGAGAAGCTACGCAGGTAGCTAAATTTAGGCTTTTGCAAGTGATCTTGTGCTGGCTGGAGGTTGATGAAGCACGGGCTTGCATTGCTGCGTATTTGTAGGTGTCAATGGCTGGGGCTTTACAAGCTGTAGGGTTCCTTGCTTTCCATGGCCACGTTGAGCTGTGTTTCCAAAGCATATGGCACCTCGCTCGCCTTTCTATCTTGTCTAGCTCGGCTGTCTTCTCTCTGCTCTGCCCGCCTCCTGGTCCTGGATCCATAGCTTGGCCGAGGCATTGCCAATTGCATGCCGCTGGAATATGCATCGCTTGTGCACTGGTCCATGCATGGTTCATGAACAATTGTCACTCTCCAAACAATTCATGGTTTGTCAATGCCGCGCCGTCAGCACACGTGGCACGTTGTGATACGCCTTGGTCAGAGAACAATGTGCTAATAACCTAGTTAAGTGGATCAATGAATCCTTCGTAGAGACCTGTTTTTTTTTAATGATATAACTACTGAAGGTTAATAAAAGGTTGTTTCAGAAAGTTTCACCTTTTTTGTCCATACAAGGCTCCTCTGTCATTCTGTGTCATCTCTGCACTGCAGGCTGTATGGCATGGCATAGGGTTCTTGACCTTGGTGCTGAGGTTATGGTTCCTCCACTTGCAGGGAAAAACATAAGTGCAGCTGCAGGCTGCAGCATCACAAAGAAGCATTTTTTTTCTGATGATTTTTGTTGCCAACTCTTCAGCCAGTCCAGCTTTCTTTTTTCCCTCACAATACTTAAACAAAGTGCTTAAGATCGACATGATGCAAGCAACACGGCATCATGTTTGTCGATGGCACGTCTGTCATGGCGTGGAAACACCGCTTTGTAGGGCCTGGCCAGCCTCTCATACATCAGTTCATGGCATAATCGATGGCGGTACTCAGAACATAGCCATGCCGACTAGTCCCTGACAGTTGTATAACTTCACACAAAATTAAAAAAAAATCCTGAAACAAGAAGCTGTCTGTGCTTGGCTGTAAACGTGCTTGAAAAAAAATGTGAAGCTTTGCACGGTGGTCTACAATCTGGTCAGCCAGAGATTCTGTACTAATTAACAAGCGCGTGTTCAGCATTAACTTGAGTCAACTTCCCTTTCCATTTCCAACTACACCTTACTGCAAAGATTCTGAGAAAAAAAAGACAAAGAATCAAACAATTCCAAACCAAGCTGTCTCCCTAAACCGAAAGCATTTACATTTACAGTTACAGGCATGGCGATCGATCTGCATTCACACATGGTTGTTTCTGTCCTGCCGCCGTGCGCCATTCAGGCGACCCGGAACCCTCTCTGTGACTCGCTGAAGGCATCGTACGCCGTCGCAAATGAGGCTCTGGACCTCGAGGAAGATGACCTTGCTGACGAAGCAGGCGACGACGCCCTGTTCTTCTTCCTCCTCGCCTTCCTCGCCCCCCTTGGCGGCATGTCTGCGTTCTCTTGCCCGGGCCTGTTGTCCTGGAACATCTCAATCGGCACCATGCTTCTTGGCTGTTCAAAGTCTGCAACGGATTAAAATTTAGAAAATTCAGCTCAGAAAGGATCTGTGAGATTCTTTCAACAGTGATTTTTGTTCATTATTACAACTTGCCTACATGCAGGCGACCAAGAGGTGCAGTCCTTGGTGTAGAGTAGACGTGTAGTGGTGTGCCACTAATATCATTATGAAATAGGACAAGAAGATTCAGGCGCCTAATCATAAGCACAAATGATTACTCGTGCTGCCTGTATGATTATGACGCACAGATTTGTTTAAGGGCGTGGCTGGAATGTCGTATGCAACATCAACTTCATTTATCTTTCTGAAAGTATTGACTCATTATGCCATTTAATTAGTCTGTTTTTTTTTTGTCTTGACTGAATTTTTTTGAAGGGCAAGCAATGTCAGAGCAGAGGTGAGAATCACCTGCAGAAGCCCAAGAAGTCTGCCTCGACTGCGCAGCTGTGCTCACAGAGCCTGCTGATAAATCATCTGTTCCCTTGAATTCAGCCATCTAAGAGTAAAAAAAAGGTACATCACCATCAGTTAAAGAACTATGTGGAATAATGTAAACTCATGACAACAAATAAAGAATGATGCTGCATATTTTTATGATATTCTTACCCAGCTTGGAGATGTGTCACTGGTGCCCAGACCTATGTGAGCCACATGCTTTACATCTGTAGGGTACCCAATCTCCATCTCATGCTCCTTGTGCACTGCAAAAGAGCAGATGTCTAGTCAGGTACTTGTGCTTTCACCATTTGCTTTTAAGTTGGTACTGCTTTTTCATACATTTTACTATTGAAACTTTTAGAATCTGGATGTGGATGTAGAAACCAATTCACAGAAACTCAAGCCAAGTAATGCAAAAAATGCAGAAATAAAGTAAAAATATAGAAGGATGGATGGGATTATTACCAAACATTTGAGAAATTATCTTCAGCCCTTTGAAGATCCCCTTCATCTTTATCGCCATTGGTGAAACCCTTTGATGGAAGAGAAAGAGCTCCTGCAAGAATGTAGAATAAGATCAAATGTTCTTGGAGTACGAAGAAATAGCCCTGTTCGCTTGGCTTATAAGCCATACTTTTTCAGCCAACGAACAGTATTTTTCTCTCACAACAAATCAACCAACAGTACTTTCAGCCATGGCTTATCAGCCAAGCGAACAGGGCAAAATGCTACAATTTGCATGAATGACAAGGATACACATATCTCCTGAATGTTCACATTGAAGAAAAGATTGCCAGAGGCTTGTGCATACAGTAGAATGGATCACAAACAGAAAAAACAAAGCACAGCCGCCATCTTACCTCTGGAATTATTCTCTCAGTTTGTAGAACTCCGACTAGCAGCTTTCACTTCTGAATCGTTAGACCAAAGTTCACTCTGAAGATGAAGAGCAAAGCAGAAGCAGATGAGAACAAGCAGTTTGGTTTAGAGGGGTAGGAAGCAGAGGGAGCTAAATCTTCCAAGAAGGTAGCATAGAACCTCCTTAAATATGGTGACAAGTTAGTTGGGAACAACTCTTGTTGTTGCTGTTCTTTTATTTTATTCTGTATAATTGCAACCAGGCTTTTCTGAAAAATAGACGATACTTGTCTGTTCTAGCTTGCAAGCTAGCTGTACATGGATTTCGTTTATGCAGTGATCATTTCTTTAGATGTCAATAGGAACTCATTGGCATTATCATATACTCAGTTAGTAGTTGAACTTTTTATTTTTCTATATAATTTTCTGGAGAGACTAGGCTTCATCTCTCCTTGCTTTGCCCCTTCGCAAAAGCCGTATGGGACCAAGTGATAGCTTGGGAAAACTTTGTGGTGCAATGGCCACAACAAGAACCGGACTCAGTTGACGATTGGTGGGAGCAAGCGGCAAGCAAGATACAAAAGCAAGACGCAGACGTTTCAATGGTATGGTGATTTACATCATGTGGAATTTGTGGAAGGAGAGGAATAGAAGAATCTTCGAAAATGTGCATAGGACGGCACAACAGGTCGCCTCACTGATCAAAGAAGACAGTGCAATGGCATAGGGCAATGAATTATGGTGGGGGGCCAAACTAGCAGTGCGAGGCATGTTTTTCTCCTCTATGGTCTTCGGACCACGGTGTTTTGGCACCTTAGGTGTCATGTGTACATAAACCTCTTTTCACTACTTAATTGAGCGGCAGAGCTCCTGCCTTTTACTTTAAAAAAATATTTTTTTTGGAGAGACTGGGCACGACTTTTTTTTCTGAAGAAAGCTGGATTGTTCCCTCTGAAATTTTAACTGTCAAGTGTCAACCGTCAAGTTCTTTCCACATTTTTCTGATTCGCCATACAAACGAAACCAACATCAACGGCTCAGTTACACAAGGCCTTAAAGGTTCCAGGCCCAATGTTTGCTCAAATCTGTTAACGAATCTCACATGTGCCTCATGGTCCTTGCACTTCCAAGTTCCAACCAACACTGCATACTACTGTTTCATTGCTGGTAGCAGCAAAGCCTAGACTCAGGACCAGTAAGCTTAGTTGAAATCTCATCTCAGAATATCACGAAACTTATTCTTTTGTTCCTGATGAATAATAGATGTGCATAAAGCTTACATGTAACATGAGCAGATGGAATTCATGCAGATCTGGGAGAGTAGCACAACATCAAGTAGACACTACAGTTATGAGATTTGATTCTATCTTGGAAGTCACACGTCTGACCTACCTATTTGATGAATGGTGACCTGTCCCATTCCATCAGATCAACAAAGCTTTATATCATGAACAGTTCTATGTATTCCCTTGGGTTAGTTTATAGATGTGAAATTTTCCAAGCTGATAGGCACAACATCAGCAGCCAATCCCTAGAGGCTGCTTGCCTTATCCTCTTATATTAAAATTTCTAATTAAATGGCTGAAAGTGTGACAGATGATGCCATCAACCTCAGACCAATTAAACACAGCACAAAAGAAAATAAAATAAAATAAAAAAAAAGACAGTCTCTATCTTCCTGCAAATCAGAATTCACCTGGTGTCCATCTTCTGACAATACTTTTCTAAACAATACTTTTTTCTAAATAAGTCGCAAAAAAAAAAGACAATACTTTTCTAAACCTTTTCTTGAAAAAATGCAGGAACCCATTTCTATGGTGCAGAAATAGTAGGTGACATCCATCTATCATGTGCTTTGTGACCTGAGCATTTTCTGAATTGCTTGGTGATGGCGTGATACAATGTCCAAAATAAACCTTTAGATTATCGCAACGTAGAAAACCCTGTTTTCTGAGCTTTGGAGGTAAAAGCCTGCATTATGGCTTTTTTATGCATATGAAGCAATGTGTATTCTGCAAATAAGAGTTTGCTGGTGAAAACTCATGACCAGAGAAATGAGCACAGCTAGCTAAGCCTGAATTACGCGTTTCTGAACTTGCTGAGTGTTGCATGCCTGTAATCTAAGCTGTTGCCGACTGGATTAAGAAGGGAGATTTGAGATGTGCATTTCCATTTCGTATGGAAGAGAAGAGAATAGCAGATCACATTGCATGGTTGGCTCCGATTTGGCAGGTGATGGGCGTCCACGCGACAAGATCGGGTCATGCCTCGCATCTTGCCCACCAATACCGTTGCAAGTCGTGGCAAGATCATCAAGTGGCATCTTTTAAAAAAAAGAAAAGAAAAAATAAACCATACATTTACCAAAACCAAGTTCTACTCTCTCTCTCTCTCTCTCTCTCTCTCTCTCTCTCTGTTGTATTCATGTTATTCTTTTCGTGGCCAGGTCACAGAGAGTTACAGACTACCTCTGTTGAGTTGAAATCCAAATTGGTAAAAATAGTTTTTACTGTAGCAAAAGGGTAGTTGAAATACAACATAAATCCATTTATCTCCCGTAGAATGGAGTACACTTCTTTGTCTTTCACAAAAAAATTGATGGATTCTGCAAACACAAGAACAGATCCACAAAATTTTAGTTAACAGCACAATTTCCCTTCACCCAAAAGCAAATGCAGATCGACAAAATCCAATTTACCATCAAAATGTTTGCGACGAATGGCTTTATTAGGACCGATTAAGACCTTGTTCGGTTCATTGGAATCCAATCCGCAAGCTAATTTTTTCCACCCCGGGAATGAGCGGATCCCTGGCTGTCACTCCAATCCCTATTGGGGATCATTACCTCTTAGCCTTAATCCATGTTCTCTGTTTGTTGTTCGGTTAGGCCAGGGATCGTTACAATTCAGTGCACACGTGTCCATAGCCATTTCCATTGATCTGGTTTGCACCCATAATAAAGCAAAACATGATCTGAGACAGTATGCTTATCATAATCACAACTGTAATCACTCAGTACAGCCTAGCACTGTTTCATCATTAGATGGGGCCATTATACATTTCGATCACACATAGTACATTAGAGGCGTCTCTCAAAGCCACAACAAGCACAGATGAATTTGAGCTCTGACAATCCTTGCAAAAAATAGTTGAAATCTAAAAGGCTAACACCTGACCATGCCCCCGCGTCGCCCCCACGCAGGCCACACGGGAGGCGACCCAAACCCTAGTCGCCTCTCTTCCTTCCCTCCCTCTCTCCAGCCGCGCCGTCGTCGGAGCAGGCCGCCGGCATGGCCGTGCCGCTTGCCGTGAGGGCGGCGGCGAGGCTCTTCTTTGCGGTGGAAGCTGCGACGATCGGGGACGAGCTCGCATCCTGGGGCTCGCGCGTGGTAGCTGGGGCGGGTGGTGGCGCCGGCGTCTCCAGCGGCTGTCTGGGGCAGTCTCCTTGTTTCGGCGTCCGGATCTGGCGGTCCGACGGCCGGACTCGCGCGGATCTCCGGCAGGCCGCACCTGGGCGGGCGCTGGGCGGTGGTGGCGGCAGCTCCTGTCCAAGACGTCGCGGACCCGCGGGTTCGGCGCCCGTGGTGGCGGCTGCGTCGCCCAGGGCCGGGTCTCTTCCTCTTACTCGCGCTTGGTGGCGGCGTGCGCAGTAGCGGGGTGGCAGGGCGTGCCCTCGCGCGAGCCGCGTGGGGCTCGGCGGGGCCGCCTGCTGCGGCTGCAGCGCTGGGCAGTGCTCGTGCAGGCGCCGGGCGGTGGCGGGGGCCCTTTCTTCCTCCTCCGCTTCCCCCTTTCCTCCTCGGCCTTGGCGTGGAGGTGGCGGCGCCACCCGGGGTCACTGGGTCTGGCACCCTGATGGCCAGATCCGGTGCCCCCAAGGCAGGGGGCGGCGCCCGAGGTGGGGCATGCGCCTGTCGGTGGCTAGCGGAGATCGGCAGCGTCAACGGCGGGTGCTTGTGCCGGCGACGACAGCTGGCGACGGCTTTGGCGTCTTGGCGGCGGTGGTGACGCGTGGTAGGGTAAGTCCACCCGCATGTTGCCCGGTCGGAGGGGTGGCGGCCGACGAGTCGTGGCGTGGTCATTGTGCATGGCGGCGTGGCGTCGATGCCCCTCTGGAGGGGCTTCTGCGGGATGGCGGTGACGACGACGGTGGTGACAGGCTACGGTACGGCATCTTGGCTCGACGTTTGTACTAGGGGCACCTCTGGCGAAAGCCTTGGCGACGGCGACGCCTGTGGGCGCCGTTTTCCTTGTTGGGGCGTCGTGTTCTTGTGCCCCTGACCATGTCTTCCACGGTGGAAACCCGGTCCATTCTGGACAAGCGGCACGGCGGCTATTCTCTGCGTCGTACCTTTCCGAAGGTGTCTCCTTGGCGGATGTCCTCTGCCTCTTGGCGCGCCGGTTGCGCGAGACGACGAGTTCGCATCGGGAAGTTTGAGCTGCTGTATTAGGGGATATAGCTCGGCAACGATGACGCTGGTCGAACCCTCCTTCTCCGACGGTGGGTCTCGACTTTAGAGGCTCGGCAATCGCGCCATGCAGGCGGGCGTGGGATCAAGGGGGAAGTCGGAGCTGCTCTTCGTGGAGCCGTTGAGCTCGGCAACGATGACCTGTTGCAGCCTCCTGCTTTGGGCCCGTTGGTCAGACATTTTAGGATGGGTCGTCGATGTTTTGCCATGGAAAGTCGGAGTCATTGGGTCGCTTTGTAAACCACGCTTTAAGCAACGATGACTCATGGTAGTGTGTACTCTACCGCATTGCGTGGGTGAGCTAACCTTTCGCGGTGTTTGGCACCACGCTTGGTTACCTTTGCTTGTATATAAACTTCATATGTCTTAATTGAAAGATAGAGCTCCTGCCATTGTTTCAAAAAAAAAAGGCTAACACCTTAGAAGCTGCCATGGATCAGTGTTGAATTTGAGCAGTTGTTGTCGCCAGGCTTTATACAACAGTTGAACTAGGCTTCAGAAACAGTGGCCAGGTATAATAAATTGTTGTGCTCAGAAATCATCACATTGATTTCTTTTTCTTCATATATAATCTATTGATGGCATCGATTCAAGCAAACATCAGCCAAAAAACCGCCCAAAGAGGGAAAAACTACTACCCCTACTGGTACCCAAATTATGCCAAACATTGATATCAAACTTTGATGAGCTCCCTCTCATGGAACAGGGGTGGTCGCCTCTGGACCAAGTTACTACTGAACGAATCCAATCAGATATCCATTGCTTGAGAGCTTGATGATGCGCCCTTCTTCCTCCTTTTCTTTTTCTTGGAGTCCTTACCCTGCCTCATGGCATCGTCCTTTGCACCTGCAGGTAGCTGCGTTGCTAGCAAATGCTGATGGATTGCAGCAAATGGGTCAAGCTGGAACTGCAGGTTGTCCAGTAGAGCCTTGAGATGAGCAGCCTCCCGTAGCCTGGACAAGAAATTAGGGTTTAGAGTCCAAAAGTACAGTTGAGAAACATTTCGGATTTAGTCCAAAACTACAGTTGAAAAACGTGAAGACCTGAAGCAAGGTGTGAAGAGAGGATTACACTAATGTTCATCTTGACTTGCGATTCACTTTTGCTTGATCTTACTGCGCCGTGCAAATTGGTTCGGGAGGAACTTTGACAAAGGCCGAGAGATCATATGCTTTCAGTTTCTTCTGATGCCAACTCTGTATTTTTCTGCTGAACAAAAAAATTGAAACAGACGGTAAAACATTGGCATCATAATGAAAAGTGAAAGGAAATGCAAATTATACAAATATGATGACAAGTGCATGTGAATTTACATATTGGATCCATATCAATAGTGTATGGTGCACACTGCAATAGCAATACAAAAGAAAATAAATATGCCAAGCCGTTGGAGTCTACTTTGGAATGGAGTAGACCTCTAAAAATATCCACAAACATATAACTAGCTAAGTGAACGCGACAAAAGGATTTCAAGTTAGTTTTAAGTTCCCATCAATTAGCAAATCATGACTGTAAAAATCTGTTTATGGTGACATGGTTATTTGCTTTATGGTGCACGCATATACATGAACATGTGAATGACATTGGAATATTGCTCTTCTGCAGCATTTGTTCACAACTACATCAGGAACACACAGAATGATGTGGGGCATACAGGAAACTGACGCTACACCATAAGACTGACCAAATACACATCAATAAGGACCTATTACAACAGAGACAAATACGCTAATGTCGCTGACACTTTGAAATTTGAACCATTTATTGATGTTATAAACTGTGGAACAAAAAAAAACACATCTTCCATCAGAAATGGAATTTTTCCTGTGTATCCACCTAGGCAATTTTCCTAATCCCTGACTTGAGGACAGGCTGGCATTGCTAGGGCAATGGTTGCACCTGAGCAACTGCTCTAAGTGATATTCTACGTGTGGACGACCCTGACACATTATTTTTTTTTCACTTTTTTATCATAAAAGGACATATATATTCGTATTAATTCTCAAATAACGCTGATGTGGCATGCTAATTGTATGTCAACAAGTTCGGGGACGTAGATGACACCGCCATACAAGTTTTGAGACTCAAATATCAAAACTAGATAGTTGGGGACCTAAGGGACACCTGTTAGAGGCGTATGTCATGGGCCTATCGGGCCTAAAGTGGCAGTATAGCCCATTAGTGTTAGGGTTAATTAGAGATAAGGGTGTCTTCCTTAGAGTCAAGTAAGCCATGCTTAGGGGTCAAGTAAACCTCTCAATATAAGGAGATGAGATGTATCAATTTAATCAAGCAATAATTAGAAGGAAAAACCTTCTCTATTGCTCCGCCGTGGGCAAGGCCCCCCCGGCCGGCCCCCTCTCTCCCTCGCAACCATAGCAGCCACATAACACACCACAATACAAGTTCAAGGACTCAAATATTAAAAATCGATAGTTAGGGACCCAGATTACACCACCGTACAAGTTTAAGAACCGCTCGTGGATTTTACTCTAAGATTTACTTTACATTGGCAGAAAACTAATGCTTAAACAGTCTTTAATTACTCAAATGAAATCAAAACTTCAGAGTTTAACAGAAATGGAAATTCTGGAAAAAATCAATTATATATGCTAATGAAGGAGAGGAATTTGAAGTACTTACTGATAGTCTTCTTAGCGTTTAAGGAAGTAACTGCATCTTTTACTTCTGGAATAACAAAACAACACTTTCAGGAGTTAGAGCACAAATTATGGTAAATGAAATAAGCCATGTTGTTATGCAAAATAAAAAGGAAGGTAAGGAAATGAAAATGGAATGCATGAAACATGAAAGACCCAACTTGAAAAGGGTCCTGTTAAAACTTAGAAGTGAAATTGCATAAAGTATGCGCAATACAGTATATGAAGCTAAGATCTTCTCCATTACACTATGCAAATCAAAGAATGAAAATACTCCTTCACTGCGTACAGTGTAGAAACTAGCAGGGGGCATTTGCAACCACAAACTAACCCCTAAATACCAAACCACTTGAGTTGAACAATGCAGGCCCCCCAAGTACTAACTTTGCTGAAAATTTCTGCTATGCGAACTATTTGGTGCAACTTCCATTCTTCTATAGAGACTTGGAAGAGCTACTGCCCTTCCTCAAAAATATGTTCACCAACAGCAGGAAGTTGCTATGGCAAAAGCCAATGCCTGTATCCTAAGGTCAGCACTTCAGTTGGTTCTTCCATACAATCAAACTTTTAACTCTCAACACCATCCTACCTACATATGTCTGGCTTATACATACATCTAGTTAAACAGGTAGTGAAAGACAGATGACATAAACAGCATGATGGAATCTATGAATCAGGATCATATCAGGGAAAAATTTGTCAACTTAACATAAGTTCACACCTACTTGTGTAAAAGCCGAGCTTCTTTTCCAATTTCTGCTTAGATTTGAGCTCATGCTTCTTTGACGAGTATTCAGCTAGTTTTTTCAGTCGGAACAGTGTTTTTCTCTCACAACAATTCAGTCAGAACAGTGTTTTCAGCCAAGTTTCAGCAAGCCGAACGGGGCCGCAGTGGCCATGCCCAGAGAACAAAAATAGCACGGTCTACTTCAGACATGTCTAAACAATGGCAGTATTTTTTTTTTGTTAAACTTCCGGGGGGGGGGGGTTAAAGTGATCCCCACCTGATTCATTCCACTGATGCCGGCTAGCCGGTGGGTGGAAGGGCCGAAGCCCTCCAAATTTTAGTTTACAAGAACAAAACATACCGAAGCAATGAAATGAAACGATTACGTAGGAACAGAAGCTCTCCCGTGAGCAGCCAGAGTGACGTTCCTTCTAAACAATGGCAGTATTGTAATCAAGCACTACAGAACAATAACTTCCTTAGCCTTCAACTACAAACAATCGAAGTGACAAATGACCTTAATACTATCTCCAACATCCTAATGCATCAAATACCTAAGCGTTGGTCGATGAACGCCAACATAGCACTACATCCAAACAGGAATCAAAGAGAAGAGTAAGATAGACATGTCGCCGCGTCGCGGTGGCTTGGCGGAGCAGAGGAAGGGGATCGCGATACAGAACCTCGATGCCGGCGGCGGCTGGGCTAAGACAAAGCAAGCGGATGAGGTCGGCGGCGGCGTCTCGATTGTTTATGACCCGTGACATTTTATTACATATACTAAAACGTATTTTTTCACTCCGTCTTCTCCGCAGCGGTCGCGGAATCTACAGCGGCACGGCGCGCACACAAGTCACCATTCACCAGCAGAAAGATTCCGCCCATCGCCCACTGCGCACTGGGCACGGGCTTCCAGGTGAAGAACCCAAGCAGAACCCACCATGTCACCGGCGGCGAGGCGCCTCCTGCTCGCCGGAGCCGCTCGTCGCCGCCGCTTCTCCACGGACTCCGCGGCGTCGGACCCGTCCCGGCCGTCGCAGCAGCTGCCCAAGGGCAAGCGGTGGGACGCGGTGGTGATCGGCGGCGGCCACAACGGCCTCGTCGCGGCCGCCTACCTCGCCCGCGCGGGCCGCTCCGTCGCCGTGCTTGAGCGCCGGGGCATCCTGGGCGGTGCGGCGGTCTCGGAGTCGGACCTTGTCCCCGGATTCCGCTTCTCCCGCTGCAGCTACCTCCTCAGCCTCCTCCGCCCCGCCATCCTCCGGTGAGTAACCTCCCCAAAGGATACGTCCTTTGCGATTACCACACCTCGGTTCCTGTTACATTCATGCACTGCAGCCTTGCACTTAGATGCTTTCTATCAATGTCGGTTATTCTCCTCTGTACACAACTCTGAACTGCATACCGATGTTTTGATTTGTATCTGGTGATGATGAGTTGATGACACTACTGCTGTTGTTGCGGGTGCTTGCATATATACTATAAGCGACCTGGAGCTGGAGAGGCACGGGCTGAAACTGCTGCCGCGGAGCCCTTCGTCGTTCACGCCATGCCTTGACGGCAGATACCTGCTTCTTGGTCCGGATGCAGAGCTAAACTTCTCAGAGATCAGCAAGTTCTCTAGGAAGGATGCAGAGGCATACCCAAGGTGCATTTTATCTTGGAATGATCTTAGATTAAATAAATGGTTAAGTTCCTGATTCCTGTGGTATCTATGTACATTGTATCTCTTTATTACAATGATGATCTTGGTAGGATCTGTATGTGAATGCAGATACGAGGAGAAGCTGGAGCAGTTCTGCAAGCTCATGGACTTTGTCATAGACTCGGCTCCACCCGAGCTGAGACAGGAGGTCCACTTCTCTGTGGTTGACAGGATGAAGCATAGGGTCGAGAAGTCAGCATTCTGGGGCCACCTTTTTCGGCATGTGATGCAGCAGGGGCAGGCGAACATGGTGTGAGTACTAAGTACTGACCCCTTGTCAATGATTTGATCGGCACCATTTATGCAACCCTTTCTAAAAATCAAATTGTTGTCGGCAGGGAATTCTTTGACCTCCTCCTTTCTCCGGCATCGAAAATCTTGAACACCTGGTTTGAGGTCAGCATTAGTCCCATCTTAAACGCTTCTGCTCACATTGATCATATGAAGCAATTGTGTGGTTGCTTTATTTCAATTGACAGTCTGCACCTACTCTTCTTTGACCTGTGAACGAAAAGGCTTCTCATTGACTTCTTTCTACTGCAGAGCGAGATTTTGAAGGCGACCCTTGCAACTGACGCCGTGATAGGAGCTATGGTAAGGGTGCTTTGAATGAACTAAGCAAAATATTTTGCCTTGTATATTGGCATTTGACTGCTGGATATCTCTTTTATAGGCTGGTGTTCACACTCCAAGTTCTGGATATGTTCTGCTACACCATGTCATGGGGGAGACTGGTGGTCAACGTGGTGTTTGGGCGTATGCTTCTAACTTTGACTCTCTAAGATGCTTCTTATTTTTGTTATTTTCAGTAGGGACTTTGATCCCAAATGTTTCCTCAACTGGTGTGTATATCCACTGGCTGGGAAAACAAGTTTTCAAGTATTAGTGTTATAGAAAATGGCCTCATACAATGTAGTCAAATCTGCTTGTTAGTATGTTGGGTTCATTATTAGTTCTTTCGTCAGTTCATCTTTGTTTCAGTTTTCAGAAAACTTCTTGTTTAAGTAAAGAAAATAATACACTTGCTACAGGTATGTCGAAGGTGGTATGGGTTCAGTGTCATCGGCTATAAGCAAAGCAGCTCTTGAAGCAGGAGTGCAGATTGTAACAAATGCCGAGGTGCCTTTACAATTCTTATAGCATGTAGGGCTGCTCTTTGGCAGAGTAATTTTTCCAAATTGAAACAGAAAAAAAGATCAATTTTTCAAAATTGTTAAATGTAGTTCTCAAAGAAAAAAAGATCATTTGTTTTATGTAGTGGCAATTTTTCATCATTGTGGTTTACATTCCATATTAGGCATCTTGCTTGACTTGATCCTTTGTTCTTGTTTAGGTTTCCCAAGTAATGGTTAACAAAACTAGTGGAATGGTAAAAGGGGTAAGTACTTTGATTAACCTGTAAGTGCATTTCATTCCTTTCAACCTCTTGAAAGATTGGGATTTGTAGGTAGCTTTGGCTGATGGAACAGTGGTGCACTCGCCAGTTGTTCTCTCAAATGCCACTCCATACAAAACATTTGTGGGAAAACCCAGAAATATGTTATATTGCAAAGATGTACCAGCTCTAGTTTTGCTAGCATAACTAAGCAAATATTTTTTTTATACTGATATGTGGTTTCTCTTGCAGGATCTAGTACCTTCTAGTGTTCTTCCGGAGGACTTCCTCTGTGCAATTAAGGCAGCAGATTACAGCTCTGTAAGAACTTGTGTACAAGCATATTTCAGTACTATAATAATGGTGTTTTCTTTTCAACCAAAGAAATTGTACCTAACAAATAGTCACTCAGTTGAAAAGCACCGTCATAACTATTTACACCAACATGCCTGTCTGTGGCATCTGTGAATGGGAAAACATTTTTTAAAATGGAATGGGAAAGCATTATAAAACTTGAAACTTAGAGAAAGTCAACATGCCTGTCAGCATGTTGTTGATTATGATGTTGCGAATATTATTTGTTTCTTCTGCTTCTTTCATTCTTCACTACATGATGTTGATTGTTACCGTCTCCAAGATGTTTTTTTTCAAAATTCTATATTGGTAAAGTAGATATTTATATTTTATAGAATTACTCTTAAGATGAATAGTTTGAACATTCCGATAATCAACAGTGACTCTAACAACTAAAATATTATAACTCTGATCGATAATCGTTAATGATATAATATGACTTTTTGGGGGGCAGGCAACAACAAAGATTAATGTGGCTGTCGACAGGCTGCCACAGTTCCAGTGTTGCAAAGACAGCAACCCTGAAGGTGGTCCAGAGCACATGGGCACCATACACATTGGGTCCGAAAGGTATATAACTAAACTGACATATTTTTCATATTCAGTTGTCTTTGATCTTTATTTGCGGTTACTGGATAAACAAATAAGGTGTCAGATACTATTTATTATCACATTTATCCTTTTTGTTAATGTATTGCACATCTTCCCCCAGAGCCAACTTTTTTTAATGTATTGCACAGCCTGTGCTTATCAACATGAGTAGGACAAGGGAAATGATCTCTTAACTCAAGAATGTTATTACTCGATAATAAGTTGTGCTGTTCTGAAACAGTGCCCTGCACTAGTTATCCTGACTTTATTTACAAAATTTGTTACCTATATGTATAAATTGATGTAACCGCACTCATGTTATATGAGGCCAGCCTATAGTTAGATATTCATTCCTCATTCTTTTCTCATATGGAAAGCCAGATGATCTGGCCTCTCATGTGATTGTGTGAAAACTATTTATTTGAGAAGAGAAATAGTATCACCTTGACTGAGTTATTCCACACTTAATGTCTTCTAATATGGAAATTCTGCTTTCTTCCAGCATGGAGGAAATTGACCTTGCATATAGGGAAGCAGCAGGCAGCATCTCATCCAAAAGACCTGTTATAGAAATGACAATTCCTTCTGTCTTGGATAAGACCATCTCTCCACCAGGTATGCATGTTTCTTGTTCCTCATCATTGCAGTGGCATTAGGCAAAATATATAGTGCAAACTATCTACTAAGACATATCTCACTATCCCAAAATCCCAATAGAGCAAGAAATTATATGGGGGCATGCATCGTTAAACTGACATACGATCTTACCGCTACTCTTTGTGTCCAAGGCAATTTCGTTCCTACTCTGACATCTTTTCGATCTTTTGCTTTATCCTTTCGATAGGTCAGCATGTTATTAATCTTTTGTTCAGTACACACCCTACAAACTTTCAGAAGGCAGTTGGCAGGATTCTAATGTCAGAGTATGTTGATCTTACTCACACTTTGATCTCGCTATACATTCTGTGTTCACGTTTGCACATGCGGATGGCTCACAAATATTGTTAGCCATTGCTGCTAACACCATCTGTGGATAGACTTATTTGCTGGATTTACCGTCAGGCATCAGTAACCATTTTGATGGGAACTAATTTTCAGAAAGCCTTTGCTGAGCGATGCTTTTCTTTAATTGATGAATATGCACCGGGCTTTAGCTCATCGGTGGTAGGCTATGATATGCTGACTCCACCTGATCTTGAAAGAGAGTTTGGTCTAACAGGTATACACAGCCTTCTTCTACATGTCATCTATACTTGATCCTTTCTGTTTTAATTTACTGTATCAATAGAAGACTTGGCGCTAATAAAACATGATTCACATTTCACAGGGGGAAACATTTTCCACGGTGCAATGGGCTTAGATTCTCTTTTTCCTCATGAGGCCTGCCAAGGGATGGTAATAGTTGTCTATTGCATTGATCCTTTTCTCCTTGTCAATCTTTGAAGCTTCAGTGTCAGAATCCGTGGCTTTGGGATCATGACTAACCTGTTTGCACTTTGGAGCATGCAGGTCAGATTACAGAACTCCTGTGAAGGGGCTGTACCTCTGCGGGAGCGGCGCACACCCAGGTGGTGGGGTGATGGGTGCGCCAGGACGCAACGCCGCCTCCATTGTTTTGGAGGACCTGATGAAGGCAAAATAGATGTAGCTCGCTGGAAACGGAGATGGCATTTTCATCATCAGGAGGAGAAAAAAGAAAAGCCTGCAACAAACACATCATTCATTTGTTATGGTGCAATTTTAGTGCCATTCATTCATCGAAACTGAGTTTTGGTTGCGCAAGTTCCTTTTTTTGGAGAGTTATTGTCGCAATCCATAGTGGGACCCGGCGCTGATCATGTGAAGACTCATGAAACATTTTGGTCCGTATCCGGCGTGAAATTAGAATTGTGGTAAAATGTGGAGCCACCTCTTTGGACCACGGCCTATGGGCTTATTTTGTGATGAAACAACCAGTCACGGCTCATTGGACATGGGCCATCCTAAGACAAATGAACAAGCTGATCTATTGTCATCATCATAATTAGGTGATTAAGCCCACGCATATGCCAGAATCATGGCCTGTGGACTGCTCGAGTTGCTATTTTCTAGTACTACCCTCTCAAAAATAATCTACTTTATAAAAAAGTACTCAATTCATTCCAAACTGTAAGACGTTTGACTTTTTTAACATCAAGTTTGACTCCTTGTTTTATTCAAAAATTTGTGTAAAATATTATTTTTTTTCGTCGTGGTTTGGTTTATTAATAAAAGTTCTTCAAAAATGACTTAAATTTGACTATATTTGTATAATTTTTTTTTAATAAAACGAGTGGTCAAACATAGAGAAAAAAAAAAGTCAAACGTCTTACCATTTAGATGGAGGGAGTACCTTTCAAGCGGGCAGGCCACATCCGTCAGTGAGCATAGAGGTACTAACGGCGGGGCGTTGACAGATCAACTAACGGCATCCAACCAGCGAACCACAAGCGTGGCAGCGAAGCAGATGGTCGAGACGTTGACATTGAACGGGTCTCTCTCGCCTGCTCTCGAAAGCTCCGTTGCATATGCATTGAACGGTCTCTCTCGGCTGGCGGCACCCGGAAATTGCGTGGCGGAGCGGAGCGGAGGCGGGCTGGTCTCACACGGCACGAAACCGTCACGGCACACGGCACCAGGATTTCCTTCCCCTCCCCTTCCCTTCTCCTCATAAATAGCCACCCCTTCCTCCGCCTCTCCACCAAAATCTTCATCTCTTGTGTTGTTCGGCGCACACAGCCCGATCCCAATCCCCCTTCTCGCGAGCCTCGTCGATCACCCCTTCCCTCGCTTCAAGGTACGGCGATCATCCTCCCGCTTTCGCTTTCCCGTCTCTTGGTATACGATTTATTATGGGTTATATGGGGGCTTTGAGTCATGGATCTGGCGATTTATTATGGGTGCTCTGAGTCTACGATCTGGCAACTGTGGGATGGTGTAGGCGGCTCGGAGATGGGTCGGGTCTTTGTGATGAATTCTTCGGCTCGTTGTTTAGGGTTGGATCTGCTCGTGGTTTTCTTCTAATTAAATCCCTGATGCAGAATGATGCATTGCTCGTCCTATTAGATTAGATGGAACCGGTAGGGTGACTCTGATTTATTTATCCTTGATCTGGTTTGATGTTCCTAGCTAGGCCTGTGCGGTCTGGTTCGTCAGATCAGTTTTGTTGTTTTTGATCTGGTTGTGAAGCCCGTCCAGATCATAGTAGAATAGAGAATGGTTATACGGAGTATGAACTAGCTGCTGTCTTATTAAACTTTGATCTGCCTGTGTTAACATATATATGTTAATAGAATTAATATGAGCTAGTATGAACTAGCTGCTTGTCTTATTTAATTTGGATCTGCATGTGTTAACCTATAGTTTTCATAAATAATCAATATGATGGATGAATATGTGCTTCAGATATATGCAGTTTTCTTCTGAGGCTGTAGCTTTTGTTTGATTATAAAGTGCATCATGCTTATTCGTTAAACTCTGGGGCTGTCTTAATAAGAATTCATGTTTGCCTGATGTTGGAGAAAACGTGCATTGACCTGTTGTTTTGTTCGATATATGCATGCTTAGCTATTACTTGATGAGCATGCATTGTCCTGTTTTGTTTGATATGCATGCTTTGAAAGATTAAGATATATGCATCTACTGTTCGATTCGATAATTGTTTAGCATCTACCTGGTGAGCATGCATGCTCTGTTACTCATCTTTATTATGTATTTGGATGGTGGCATGCTGCTACTGTTCCTTGATTCTGTGCCACCTACATGTTGAGCATGCATATATGTTTATCATTGCTTCTTTTCCTTCTTGGTGTACTACTATATGCTTACCCTTTTGTTTGGTTTCTCTGCAGATGCAGATCTTTGTGAAGACCCTCACCGGCAAGACTATCACCCTTGAGGTGGAGTCTTCCGACACCATTGATAACGTCAAGGCCAAGATCCAGGACAAGGAGGGCATCCCCCCAGACCAGCAGCGGCTCATCTTCGCCGGCAAGCAGCTCGAGGACGGGCGCACGCTTGCCGACTACAACATCCAGAAGGAGAGCACCCTCCACCTTGTGCTCCGCCTCAGGGGAGGCATGCAGATCTTTGTGAAGACCCTGACCGGCAAGACTATTACCCTTGAGGTCGAGTCTTCTGATACCATTGATAATGTCAAGGCTAAGATCCAGGACAAGGAGGGCATCCCTCCGGACCAGCAGCGGCTCATCTTCGCTGGCAAGCAGCTCGAGGATGGGAGGACCCTTGCTGATTACAACATCCAGAAGGAGAGCACCCTCCACTTGGTGCTGCGCCTCAGGGGAGGCATGCAGATCTTCGTGAAGACCCTTACTGGCAAGACGATCACCCTTGAGGTGGAGTCCTCGGACACCATCGACAATGTCAAGGCCAAGATCCAGGACAAGGAGGGCATCCCACCGGACCAGCAGCGTCTGATCTTTGCCGGCAAGCAGCTGGAGGATGGCCGCACCCTTGCAGATTACAACATCCAGAAGGAGAGCACCCTCCACCTGGTGCTGCGCCTCAGGGGAGGAATGCAGATCTTCGTGAAGACGTTGACAGGCAAGACCATCACCTTGGAGGTTGAGAGCTCCGACACCATTGACAACGTGAAGGCCAAGATCCAGGATAAGGAGGGCATTCCCCCAGACCAGCAGCGTCTGATCTTCGCTGGCAAGCAGCTGGAGGATGGCCGGACCCTTGCGGACTACAACATCCAGAAGGAGAGCACCCTCCACCTGGTCCTCCGCCTGAGGGGTGGTATGCAGATCTTTGTGAAGACCTTGACTGGCAAGACCATAACCCTGGAGGTTGAGAGCTCTGACACCATCGACAACGTGAAGGCTAAGATCCAGGACAAGGAGGGGATCCCCCCAGACCAGCAGCGTCTGATCTTCGCCGGCAAGCAGCTGGAGGATGGCCGCACCCTAGCAGACTACAACATCCAGAAGGAGAGCACACTCCACCTGGTGCTCCGTCTTCGCGGTGGTCAGTAAGCCATCAGTCGTTGAAGCTGCTGCTGTACCTGGGTGACTGGGTCGCCTAGTGCCTCTTGTTTCTGCCATGGATTGTGTCTTTGAAGTATTTGTATGATCTGTGTCGTGACTGAGTTTGTTTCATGGACTTGTTGTGTTCCGTCTTCTACCCAAAACTATTGTACGGCAGCATATGGCTTAATCATGAATAAATGTGATGTTTGGATTTAAAATATGTGCTGAATATTGTTGTTTTTTGTTATGTCAGTTCATGTTATTAAATTGGTTGGTGTTTGTCGCACGTTCATCTTTTTACTGAATGTTTACTTCAGATTCTGGCAGTCTCGAGACTGGTTAAAACTTGCTGCCTGAAAATAATGCAGTTCTTGATTTTCATTTGAATTTTTTAGACTGGTTAAAACTTACTTCCTAAAAAGAATGCAGTTCTTGATTTTCATTTGAAGTTTGATTAGAGATAGCGGACCATCAGGTTAATTGTGCATAGAATCATAAATATTAATCATATTTTCTATGAATTTAGTCAGACTTAAAAGAAAATTTGATTAATACAAAATTTTCTATGTCTTATTGATATACATGTTTGATTGTCTGATTACATGTTTGATTATTTGGTTTGTTATTACTGTTTTACTAGGTTCAGATCGCTATTTCTTGGTGAATCTATATAGGCTCGTGCAGAACCTTATTTTTTTTGTGTGTTCCCTCGTTTTGTTCCTGACAAGAGTAAATTTTCTGAAGGCTTACAAGTGGCTTGCTTTTCTGCATGTCCAATTTTTTGCTTGGCCATTGCAAAACAAACAACTTACCTAACTTATGATCTCTTGTGATCAAATTAGTATACTGGATACTGATAGAAGTATGACCCTTGATTAAAGAAATTTCACGATTAAAACTGATGGATGGATGTTATTGGCCTGGAAACAGCTGCTTGCTGATTGATCAAGCTTTGTTTGATTTGTTAAATATCAGTATTATCACAATGTGTTCAGAGAAATTAAATTCTTCATATCCTTTAGTTCGTATTGTACTGATCACTATTGAGAGCAAGTTCTGATAATGTCAAATAATATTGCTTTGGCTTTTGAGTTTCGTTAGGCTAGTGTTCATCGAACCTTCTGGTTCCGGTTGTTTCCAGTTTCTTGTTGGATGTTCACTCTGTATTGACTAAATGTTAGCTAGAGTATTCAGATTCCAATTGTCGGAATAATAATTATAAATGTCCTAATGTGGGCACATTACACTGTGGGTTGTAGATTAACATGTTTGGTTAGATTCAGTTCTTTTTGAATCAAGGAGATGAAGGTCATGGGCTCATGTTGGCTTGGGCAGAACCTTATTATTTTTTATTTAGGCGTTACGTTTTCCTGTATATGTTATCACTGCTCAGACCAATTCAAAATAAAATAATAAAATAAAAGAAGGCAATCTCTTCTGCAAATCAGAGTGCACCTTCATGCCCATTTTCAGACATGCTTCACTTTTTTTAGAAATAAAAAATCAAGAACCCGTTAACTATGGTGCAGACATAGTAGGTGATTGCCATCTGTCGTGTCCTTTATGATCTGTCAGAATTTTCTCAATTTCTTGGTGATTGGTGGTGGCCTTATGCAATGCCCAAAAGAAACCCTTAAGACCATCACAACATAGAAAATCCTTTTTGAGGGGGTTTGGGATATGAAAGCCTGAGTTATGATTTTTTATTCATATACGAAGCAATTTATATTTTACTTGCAATAGATAGAGAAATGAAAACAGCTAGCAGAACTTGAAGGAGTGTCGCAGCCCTGTAGGCCTGTAGCTAAGCTGTTGCGTGTTGCCAACTGAATCAAGAACAGAGCTGGAGACGAGCATTTCATATGGCAGACAGGAGATTTCATAGTTGGCTCCGATTTGGCAAGTGATGGACGCCCACGCGACAAGATGGGATCATAGTGCTCACATACCCTATCAATAGTGTAACACCACATTGTCAAATCATTGACTAATTAGGCTTAAAAATTTGTCTCGTAAATTAGTCGTAATCTGTACAATTAGTTATTTTTTAGTCTATATTTAATACTCCATATATGTGTCCAAATATCCGATGGGATAGAGACTAAACTTTAGAGGGGAACTAAACAAGGCCTTAGCCCAGTTTTGGGCCTTCTTGAGTAGCAAATGTCTTTAGATTTCTGGATTTGCTCATCTTTAGCCCTTCTGTTTGGATCATCATGAAAAAAAATAAACTAAAAGTGCATGACTAAAGCTTTGTCATTGGATCCAAACGGGCCTCATTGGACATGGGACTCGAAAAAATAGTCTACTCTATATTTAATTGCATTAAAATCTGTCAAGCAACACCCTTGCAAAACAAAATTCTAAAAGAGCAAGCCTGCAAACAATCCACCATGAAGAGCACATTACTGTCTAACAAGATGAGTACACGCTTTTGAAAAAAAAAATAACGAGGTCCAACTATGCATAGAAATGATAGAGAAATAAAATGTAGGGAAAAAAATCCATGGCACTCGTATAAATTTTTTAAAGCAGCAAAGAGGCTCTCAGAGTTGGAAAAAATGAACCAATCAAAAAGACTGACGCTGACATCGCCAGAAAGGAAACTGACGCTGAAACGCATCCGTAGCCATAAAACTGCTTCATACAGCTAAGTGAGAGGGACATTGTCTATAGGTTCTATCCAAAACGCATCATATCTCTATCTAATAATTCAAAGCTGAAAGCTCTGTTAACCTTGATGACCATCACACTGACCATCACACTAATACTGTGCGTGTACTTGTTTATCAGAAGGAACGGTGAGTGGGTAACCCCTTTGTGATTTCTTTTGTGACCAGTTGGTGATGGTACCAAGAAGATGTGGTTAGAAATTTCAGCTAGTGTCCTTTGCATTTTGGTTGTATATACAACATCACACACTTTGTGACCATTGGCTAACTTTTGTTTAGTTCAACGGTCCCAGCCGGCCTTCCGGGCACCTAATACACTGATCAATCTATTGCAGCCAACCTCAAAAGAAATGCATTTGCATTGCAGTTGTCTGTCCCAATCAATCCACTAGCAGACTCGCATTATTATGGAGGAAATGAAATTCAGCCTTTGACGTGGATGCAACAACTGCACTGCACAGGATATCTTAGCCGTTGTGTCGAAGTTTGCTTTGCTAACGTTTTGAGAAAACCAGCTTTGACCAACACGAGACGAGCGCCTTACGTTTGGCACAATGTAATGTAGCCCGGCACGGCAAGTTAGACTCTAGTATTGTGTTAGCCGGCCTCTTTACGTTTGGCACAGTTTAATTGAATCCGGCATGGCAAGTTAGACTGGAGTGTGAGCCGGTCATTGCAAAGTTATTATGACATATATATATATATATATATATATATATATATATATATATATATATATATATATATATATATATAGCACAAGTGTATAATAAGATAATGTAAGCAAGGCAGCAAGCTATATGAATTGTCACGTTATATTTATGTTGAGATGAAGAAGAGAAAATAAACAGCCTATAAATTCATAGCGAGTGATAGACGGGCACAAGGCCTCCTATTTCTTAAACCGAATTTTGTAAGAACAAAAAAAAAGGACTTATAGGAGAATGGGATAGACCATATATCAACGGGAAAGGTACACGTTGCTCGAGTGTTTTAGGCGCTCCGCTCACTCGATCCTGTAGCTGTCCGATCTGCGGCGTCAACACGGCGCGCAACAAGCGGTCGCGGGCCCCTCGGTGGTCGCGGTCGGACCGGACGATGGCCTATGGCGACCCGCGGCCTGTGCGTGCATGCGCCATAGGTCCCGGTGCATGGTGCAGGCGGCAGGTGCATGGAGTAGGCTTTGGTGCTGGTGCAGGCTTTGGTCAGGTGCAGGAGGTGTAGGTTTTGGTGTGCAGGTGAGAGGTGAGGTGCATGCTGACCCGTCACATCACCTTACTCCTAGCCCTAAGTCATGCATGTGTGCAGATTTATTCTTTTAGCCGCGATAGATTCCAACTTAGGTGTGGTTTAGATTGCCTCAAAATTCCAAGTTTTTTTACTCTCTTTCTATCACATCAATTTTTGAACATATGCATGGAGTATTAAATGTAGTTAAAAAAAATAACTAATTACACAGTTTTGTTGTAAATCATGAGACGAATCTTTTGAGCCTAGTTAGTCTATGATCGGACAAAGTTTGTCAAATACAAACGAAATGTGCTATAGTGTCCAGATTGCAAAAATTTGCAATCTAAATAAGGCCTTAGGTGTCGTTTAAATTTAGGTACAAAAAGTATATGGTGTCACATCGAATATTATAGGAGATAAGTGTTCGGATAGTAATAATAAAATAAATTACACAGGTCCTTAGTAATCTACGAGACGAATTTATTAAGCCTAATTAATCAGTCATTAGCACATGGTGTATTCATGCCTCTGCGTATTATTTTGTGTTACTTGGTTTGAAGTCGGATTTCAAATTGAGTTGAATTTGCATTTTGAAATTGCTTTGGAAAAATTAGGAAAAAAAGAAAAAAATGAATTTCCCTCCCTTCTCCTTTCCCTGCTTTCGGCCCCTTTGTATAGCTTTGGAGTTCTAGAGTTATTGAATTATTCGAGTTCTCAGGTCGAGCACTCGAATCATCTAGCTTCTCTTTTTTGAGGAGAGCCAGAGAGCCAGAATCAGAATAGCCAGCCTCCTTTTTAGGAGAGAGCTCATTCCCTTTTATAGTTGAAGGGGATGGGTTTTTACAAGTCAGAGAAAGAGAGAGAATGTATACGTATGCTATCTAGTCTTATTGCCCACGTTATCGGGTACGAGACGGTCGTCAGCGCCCACAATACTGTTTTATGTCCAAATACATGTGGCAGGCTCTACCGTGTTCGACTGGTATGACAAATATCGGCGTATACAATACTGTTTGGGTTCTGACACGCCTGAAAGGTTGCATAGTGCCTATCTGGCATGGCCTGGTGGCACCGTCCGGCAGGTGCGCAGGATATGGCATGGTACGGTCCTCGGTATTATGGTTTGACTTGAGCGCCTTACCTTATCTGCTCCGCCTGATCCCTGGGCTCTTATCGAGCGGGCGTCCCCGGTCGGTCGTTCCCGGTCGGCCCCGACTGTGTCGGTCGGGGAAGAGCTGCAAGCAGAGGTCCGGCGTATTCCCGATCGGAAAAGGAAGTCGGAGTCGGACTATGTCACCACCTTAGCCAGCCTTTTCGGTCGGGGACCGGATCATTCTCCCGGCCTGTCATTAGGTATCTGGGTCGGCCCGGGAGGTGCGCGTTGTCGCTACGCCGTCTGCTGGGCCGAGTTTTTGCTAGGAAGCGGGTCCATTGGGGACCCCGGGTTTATGAACCCGACACGTGGTCACTACGCTGCATACTCCCTGTTCGACCGCTGACCAGCACGCTGGTTCGCCGCGTCGCCCGCGCGGGACGGAATGGGATGTCACGACCTGCTGACAACACCAGGGCATGGCATCAGCGGCGAACAGGCCCCCGGCGTGGAGCCGTCCCTGTCACCATCTGCAGTGTCGACGGGACCCGCATAAATGAGAAAAAAGGCCCGGCGGTTCTGGAAGCCTTCCTCTCCTTAGCTCTTCTCCTCCTTTCTCTCTGTGTAACCTGCTCTTCCCCTTCGTCTATAAAAAGGGAAGCAAAACGCCCCAGGAAGAGGAGGGCGGTTCACCACTCTACATGGCTGTAGACATAAAAACACACTCCCTAACATGCCTTGGGAGCACACTCACATCAGAGACTTGGAACCTGTCCCTCTCTCGCTCGTTTGTAACCCCTACTATAAACTTTTAGTGATAATAACACGAGCAGCAGCGACGAACTGGACGTAAGGACTTTCTGCCCGAACCAGTATAAACCTTGTGTCCTCTAAGCACACCATACGAGCCAGACGCGCAATACTAAAAATTTATTAGTTGGTAACTCGAAACATCGACATCTGGCTAATCTTTTTATTTTATTTGGTTTCCCTTTGAAATCTTCTAATTTAGCTTTCATAGAAATAATCTAGGTATTTTTTATTTTATATGTTCTATCTGTTTGCATTAATTTTGATCATTTGATCTGAATGCTGTGGTCATGAGAATCGAGTGTTTCATGGCCTTAAAACACTCGATTATGCCATCTGACCCGTTTTCAACCAATCTAGTGTTTCTGAGCTATATCAATGGTGCGGCATGTTAGTATACATATCTAACTATTACTCCGTATATGAGTGAGTTGTTAAATTTATTCCAGGTGAAATGGCATTAACGATAGCCAATAGGCGGCTAAATTAATAGCCATACTCTAACAGCTCTAAAAAACATATATTCATCGAGGTACTTTTATGCAACCACATAGTCAACTTCAACGTCGCTTGCGTGCGTTCTCAAGTTTTCTTTCTTGCAAATTACATTTTTTTTTTTAAAAGTATAATTTGTATCGTGCGATTTTTTCTCTCTAGGTGTGCGTGACTGTGGGAGTAACAATTTTGAATCTCAAAAAGGAAATAAAAGAATAATACTGCTGCCTACTTTGAGGATTACAATATTTTTCTCTAAAATGTTTTGGTGTGATATCTAAACCGTCTTTAAAGCCAATTGCTCAAGATTCATTCAACAATTGAAACGTCTCACATGACTAAATGATATAAGGTTGCTAAGGTCTTGCTTGATAAGCTTTTTTATGAATTTCATCTAAATTTTCGAGTGAAACTATTAAATACTATGGTTGCTAAGTGTCAATCTCGCTTCTCGAGAAGTCTAACGCTTTAAACTTTAACCAAACATATATAAGAAAATATTAATATTTATAGTACATAATTAATATCATTAGATAGATCGCTGAATCTATTTTCATAACAAACTTATTTGAAGAAACAAATGTCGTTCATATTTTTTTTATATACGAATAACATAGCAACACTTATTTTAGGACGAAGGGAGTACTTCCTTTGTCCCGCTTTGAGTATCGCTTTGGCAGCTGGTACCTCTGTCCACGTTCACAGCTTGTGCCAAGTACCTAGACTCTTCCTCTGTCCACATTCATTTAATCTCTGTTGGATCTTGTGTAGAGCTAAAACGACTCTGATAAAGGGATAGAGGGAGTAGTATGTTACAAGAGTGAAGTCTACTCCCTCTGTTGCAAAAAAGTAATCCTAAGCTTGAATTGTATTCTTTTTTGACAAAAGGAATATAAAAACAAGAATGATGTCATCATCATGCTTCGATCCTTCTTTTTTTGGTAAAGCTTGAGTTTCTGTAAAAATAGAGAAATCAGGGGAAAAATTACGTTTTGGTGGTTTTGATTTCTTGCCTCCACAATAACTTTGGTTTTACTATTTTTTTGTTTGATTTTAGTTTCAGAAGTCCACTATTGTACGTGCTCGTAGAGCCTAAGCAAAAGGCTTTCCAAAACGACCTTATCTTCAAGTGTTGTCAAAAAAAAATGAGCCCGTTTAACGGCGTCGACAAGTCTAACGGACACCAACCAGCGAACCACCAGCGCCGAGCCAAGCGAAGCAGACTGCAGACGGCACGGCCGAGACGTTGACACCTTGGCGCGGCAACGGCATCTCTCTGGCCCCCTCTCGAGAGTTCCGCTCCACCTCCACCGGTGGCGGTTTCCATGTCCGTTCCGTTCCGCCACCTGCTCCTCTCACACGGCACGAAACCGTCACGGCACCGGCAGCACAGCACGGGGGATTCCTTTCCCACCGCTCCGTCCCTTTCCCTTCCTCGCCCGCCCGTTATAAATAGCCAGCCCCATCCCTCGTCTCTCGTGTTGTTCTGAGCACACACACAACCCGATCCCCAATCAATCGATCCCCGCTTCAAGGTACGGCGATCCTCCTCCCTCTCTCTCTACCTTCTCTTCTCTACACTAGATCGGCGGTCCATGGTTAGGGCCTGCTAGTTCCGTTCCTGTTTTTCCATGGCTGCGAGGTACAATAGATCTGATGGCGTTATGATGGTTAACTTGTCATGCTCTTGCGATTTATAGCCCCTTTAATTTCGGATAGTTCGAGATCGGTGATCCATGGTTAGTACCCTAGGCTGTGGAGTCGGGTTAGATCCGCGCTGTTAGGGTTCGTATATGGAGGCGAGCTGTTCTGATTGTTAACTTGCTGGGAATCCTGGGATGGTTCTAGTTGTTCCGCAGATGAGATCGATTTTATCTATCCGTGGTATGATGTTAGCCTTTGATATGGTTCGATCGTGCTAGCTACGTCCTGTGCACTTAATTGTCAGGTCATAATTTTTACCATACCTTTTTTTTTTTTTTGGTTTGGTTTGGTCTGATTTGGCTGTCGTTCTAGATCAGAGTAGAAACTGTTTCAAACTACCTGCTGGATTTATTAAGGCAGCGTTTGGTTCCTGGTATCGAATCATACACGCACCAGTGCATCTTGGATAGCCAGATGGGGCCCACGTGTCCAACCGTTTGGTTGCCGGATCGAACGAGTCCATTCAAGACCGAACCATGCAGAGCAATCGAATATTCTCTTGTGATGCTGTATCATCCAGTTCGGCAAAAAACAGCGAATGACGCCATACAGGACACCGTACTGAGCGTCTGCAACTCTGCATCCCGCTCACTGCTCACATCTCCGCTTGCCGCCTCACCTATCCGACTCAGACCGGAGCCACACGGATTACTGCTGCTGGTGTGTGTATTAACAAAAGATCCATTTGACCGGAGCACATGCAGTTTGGACGGAAAAAAAATATTATATTCGTCAGTGCTGCATATGTACTCATACTTGCATAATGGTTTTATTTATTCGACCTCATCAGTCCTGGCACTATGGAAAGTCATTGTAGTATAGATTTTTTAATATAATATAAATCATTGGTGACTTATCTTGCTTAATTTTATTTTCTTATTATGAAATATCGTTACATTCATAATAGCAAATTTGTGCAAATATATAGAATCTACATGAAATTCTTGGTTGGACCAATACAACAAACCCCTCAAACATTCTCTTGTACTGAACCATACCATTCCGTACAACCATCCAAACAAAAATCATGTATCATCATGTACATGTAACCAAACAATTAACACGCACCATCCTATTCAGACTTGTCTCATCCATAATCTATCCATCCAGGATGATCCATCCCATTCATCTATATACACCCAATCAAACGCTACCTAAATTTGGATCTGTATGTGTCACATATATCTTCATAAGATGGATGGAAACATCTCTTTATCTTTTAGATATGGATAGGTATATATGTTGCTGTGGGTTTGTAAGTTATATATATACGTGCTTACATACGTGAAGAAACCTGCTGCTACAGTTTAATAATTCTTGTTCATCTCAACAAATAACGATAGGCGTATATGTTGCTGTGGGTTTTACTGGTACTTTGTTAGATATATACATGCTTACATACCTGAAGAAACATGCTGCTACAGTCAAAAATTCTTGTTCATCTCATAAACAAAAAGGAGGTGTATATGTTGCTGTGGGTTTTACTGGTACTTTGTTAGATATATACATGCTTACATAGATGAAGCAACATGCTGCTATGGTGTTTAATAATTATTGTTTATCTAATAAACAAACATGCTTTTTAATTATCTTGATATGTTTGGATGATGGCATATGCAGCAGCTATGTGTGGATTTTAAATACCCAGCATCATGAGCATGCATGACCTTGCCTTAGTATGCAGTTATTTGCTTGAGACTGTTTCTTTTGTTGATACTCATCCTTTAGTTCGGCCACTCTTCTGCAGATGCAGATCTTTGTGAAGACCCTCACCGGCAAGACTATCACCCTCGAGGTGGAGTCTTCTGACACCATTGACAACGTCAAGGCCAAGATCCAGGACAAGGAGGGCATCCCTCCTGACCAGCAGCGGCTTATCTTCGCTGGCAAGCAGCTTGAGGACGGCCGCACGCTTGCTGACTACAACATCCAGAAGGAGTCGACCCTCCACTTGGTGCTCCGCCTCAGGGGAGGCATGCAGATCTTCGTGAAGACCCTGACCGGCAAGACTATCACCCTCGAGGTGGAGTCTTCTGATACCATCGACAACGTCAAGGCCAAGATCCAGGACAAGGAGGGCATCCCCCCTGACCAGCAGCGGCTCATCTTCGCTGGCAAGCAGCTCGAGGATGGGCGACGCCACACCCGACTACAACATCCAGAAGGAGAGCACCCTCCACCTTGTGCTCCGCCTCAGGGGAGGCATGCAGATCTTCGTGAAGACCCTGACTGGCAAGACTATCACCCTTGAGGTGGAGTCTTCTGATACCATTGACAACGTCAAGGCCAAGATCCAGGACAAGGAGGGCATCCCCCCTGACCAGCAGCGGCTCATCTTCGCTGGCAAGCAGCTGGAGGACGGGCGCACTCTTGCTGATTACAACATTCAGAAGGAGAGCACCCTCCACTTGGTGCTGCGCCTCAGGGGAGGCATGCAGATCTTTGTGAAGACCCTTACTGGCAAGACGATCACGCTTGAGGTGGAGTCCTCGGACACCATCGACAACGTCAAGGCCAAGATCCAGGACAAGGAGGGCATCCCACCAGACCAGCAACGTCTGATCTTCGCTGGCAAGCAGCTGGAGGATGGCCGTACCCTCGCCGACTACAACATCCAGAAGGAGAGCACCCTCCACTTGGTGCTCCGCCTGAGGGGTGGTATGCAGATCTTTGTGAAGACCTTGACTGGCAAGACAATCACCCTTGAGGTGGAGTCCTCAGACACCATCGACAACGTCAAGGCGAAGATCCAGGACAAGGAGGGCATCCCCCCGGACCAGCAGCGTCTGATCTTCGCCGGCAAGCAGCTGGAGGATGGCCGCACCCTAGCAGACTACAATATCCAGAAGGAGAGCACCCTCCACCTGGTGCTCCGTCTCCGTGGTGGTCAGTAAGCCATGGGTAGTTTAAGCTGCTGCTGTACCTGCGTCTGTCTGGTGCCCTCTGGTGTACCTCCATATGGTGGTGGTCGTCTATTAAGTATCTGTGGTTTGTGTCATGAGTCGTGACTGAGTTGTTTTAAAGGACCGGTTGTGTCCTGTGTGTGTCATACCCAAAACTGTTCTGCAGCAGTATGGCTTTATCATGAATAAGCTTGATGTTTGAACTTAAAAGTTTGTTCTCAATATTGTTTTTTAAGGTTATATCTCCTAATATTTGCCTGAGATCAAATTTGATTTGCTGGTTTCTATTGGACCTCCAGGTTCTCGCTATCTACCGTTTCTTACTGAATGGTAACTTGGTTCTGTCAAGCTCAGTTTTTGACTCTGGCTTACAGCTTAACAAGTTTGATGGTTTGTTGGATGTTAACTTGGTTCTGTCAAGCTCAGCTTTATACTCTGGCTTACAGCTTAATATGTTTTACTGTTTGGTTTGTTGCTACGTTGTTGGGTTCTGATTGCTAGTTCTTGTTGAATCCAAAAGATCATGTAGTACTCTGCTGAACCATTTTATTTATTTGAGTGATCCATGTTATTACTGTGAAGGAATCTTCTAGCTAAGTAGTCTACTTAGATTCTTCTACAAGGGTAAATTTACTGGATGCTTCAGTGTTTCTGTGATCATTATGTATTCTGGAGACAGTAGCATCCAATGTAAGACAGCAACTTGATCACATCAACTCAAGTAGACAACACACAACAAGGTTCTTTATCTCACCAAAACATTGGAGAATATACACAGCACCGTAGATGCACATGCTTCCCAATCTTAGTTCGAGAAATTTAAGCACAAAATCTCAAAGCTGTCTTCACTCTTTGCTCTCAAAGTCATGAGTCGTGACTGAGTTGGGTTTAATGGACCGGTTGTCCTAGTGTGTTCTACCCAAAACTGTTGTGATGGCTTAAATCATGAATAGGTTGTGATGTTTGAACTAAGTTTTGTTTTCTGTTATTTCTCTTAAATAATGCGTTAGGACAAATTTGTTTGGCTGGTGTTCATCGAACCTCCAGGTTCCTAGCTGTCTACCGAGGATTAAATTTGTTTGGCTGGTGTTCATCAGACATCCAGGTTCCTAGGTAGACGGATAAATTAGTTTGGCTGGTGTTCCATCAGAACTCCAGATTCTAGGCTATCTACCGTTTCTTACTGATACTGAATGTTAACTCTGAATGCTAACTACAGGATCTGGAAAGCTCTGTTTTTTTTACTCTGGCTTACAGGTTGTTGCTATGTTACTGGGTTCTGATTGCTAGTTCTTGCTAAATCCAAAAGAATGTGTAAGATTGTGCAGAATAGTATTATTTATTTAGGTGTTCCAGATTTATATCTTATTATTACTCTTATAAGTCTGGTTTGGTTTTTCTACAAGGGTAAATTTTCTGGAGGCCCCAGTGTTTCTGTGATCATAATTCATTTGGAGGCTGTGGCTTTATGTTTTCTGGAGACAACTGAAGTACTAGACAGCAAGGTTCTTTGTCTCGCCAAAACATTGAGCACTGTAGAATCTCGTTGGCTGCTCATTGGAGTGCACGCAGCTGCAGGTGATGCACGTGCTTGCCAGTTCGTCTCACTCTTTCTCTGCGGAGTGTTGATCAATCTTACATGTCACAAGAATGATGGCACAAGAAAAAATCTGCAAACTGTAATGAAATTGTAATGCTTAACAGTTAACTCAATGCTGAGGAATGAAACGCATATATGGTCGAGATGATGTCTTTCAGCGTTCTTTTTGCTTCTAACCCAGTGATGATTTTACCGAAATGTACAAACATATTTCTTAGCTTACTATAAATAAAAACCCTTCTTGTTTCAAAACGAGGAAAAGATTGCTCCACCTTAATAAAACAAAAGAATGTTTAATTTGCTCCACTGATTTAAACCAGTGTTACCCAATGAGACTTGTGAAGGAGGTTGTCGGTTTCGAGGGGAAGCTTGTGTGGGACTCCAGCAAAGCAGACGGCATAACCAGGAAGGCAGGAAGCTCATGGGTAGCTGCAAGACAGGGTTGCCGTAATGTGTCAAATACTGCATAAGCATAACTGCTAGAAGCATAGTTGATATTGAACACTCCTTGTTGATTAAATACAGTCTTACGACCAAAACTGATGGATCACGGATGGATGTTCTTGGCCTATAAACATTTGCTTGCTGATTGGGCAAGCTCGGTTTGATTTTTTAAATATCACATTGTGTCGAGAAAAGAAAAAACCAGTGATTCATGTCCTTAATTTGTACTCTACTTGTACTCTACTGATCACTATTGAAGAGCCTTTGATCAAAGGGCACTAAATTGGATGCGCAAGCTCTGGTTTGCATTTCTTCTTATTTTTGTTTACGTCAGTAATACTGTCTAAAGATTAAATTTGCTGGCTTTTGAGCTTTGTTTGGCTGGTGTTCGTCGAATCGAACCTGCAGGTTCTCTGGCTGTCTCCAGCTGAATTTCTTACTGGATGTACACTTCAGGTTCTGTTTTCACTGAATGTTAGCAGCTCTCAATTTCGAGGTTCGTGTTGGACTAGTGGTCACATTGATCACATAGACAATTAAGTTTTTTTTATCTCACAAAAAAAAACTGCAGAACGATTCTGGAAATCGTTCGACACCGACACACCGTATGTAAGGTTTGCTGAAAGCTGGAGGACACGTCATGGTAGAATTCCATTGGCTGCGGTTCAAAAAAAAAAAAGAATTCCATTGGCTGCTCATCAGAATGCACACAGCGGCTACAGACACATGCACTGGTTACTAACAATAGTTGATGCATTCACGCACATGCTTGCCAGTCTTAGAAAAGTTTTATTCGAGAAATCTAAGCATATGATCTGACATCACATTGCATGGAACGAACCTACAGCTTTGTTACACTCTTCTTCTCCACCCAGCAAGTCATTCTGGGAGGAGCTGCTTCCCTCGGTAAAAAAGAGCTACATACGGTGTGGCCCTCAAAACTGAAAGGATACTTGAAGGAAATCTTTGCTTTTTGATCGGCTCACTCTTTCTCCTCTCCTATTCTCTCTACTACAAAGCTGCTGACCGATCAATCTTATCTTATGCCACAAGACCCACAAAGGAGTGATGATCTGCAGCGCCAGAAAACTTTTTGCAAATTGCGATGCTTAACGCAATGCAGAGGAATATAATCAAACGCGTACACGATCAAATGATGATTCCCTCTAACTTGCTGTAAAAAACTGGTTCTTTGCTTTGCTAATTAACCCAACGATTTTATCCAAATGTTGAACAGAATTGTGTCATTGTGTGGCGAAGAACACAATTAATACAAACAGCAGAGTGGCTGATTAGCGGGTTGTCGGTGTCGCAGCATGGAAGCAATGTAGTAAAGAAGTAAGATGATCTGAAAGAGATGATGATGAGCCACTGAAAGCTGGGCAAAAGAAGGCCATAGGGCCTTTGAGGCCATTGCAGGAAAGGATCCTGTTCTTTTCTTGCTCGATGTTTCTTCCATCCACAAACGTCGATGGTCGATGCCTCCACCGCAACCGCAGCCATGATGAGGATTGGAAAAGAGACCACACGGTCTTGGCTTGCTCGATGTGCAGCTGCATGTGGGGCCACACGCTCATTCCCGGCTTCAGAATCACATTCCTGATGGGCAGTGGGCACACACGCACACGTGCTGGCTGGGAGAGCGCGAGTAGACCATATGAAAGCGCTACGAAACTTAACCGGGATGCAGCTTGCGACCTCTACCATAGCTTGATTCTCTTAGACCGGCCTCTACTGCTTCTGCAAGAAATCCTATCGAATATTTATCATTGCCGTGTATGTGCAGCTGATAGTGCACTAGTGTGGCAAACTGGCAACCTGTCTTTTTTTAATCTGAATAATTCAGTGCTTAACTCTGCATGGAGACATGGAGTATGTCATAGTGATAACTGTTAAGTAAGCTCTGGAGTCTGGACCAGCACAAAACAAAAGAAACATTCCATGTATTTATAGACCCTCCCAGTTCAGAGACTTGTGTAGACTTGCTGTACTCTGCGCCACACACGGCTAGCTGCCTGACCAGTAGGCCAAGTGAGTGAGTGAACATTGTGTCGGCTAGGTAGGCGGCAATGGCGGCGAGCACCAGGAGGCGGCACAGCAGCAGCAGGATGGCCGTGCCGGCGCCGGTGGTTCTTGGAGTGGCCATGGTCGTCGTCGTCCTGGCCAGCAGCGCGACCGGCGCGAGCGGGCAGCTGAGGATGGGGTTCTACGCCGAGAGCTGCCCCGGCGTGGAGCGGATGGTGGGCGACTTCGTCCGCCAGCACGTCCGCCGCGTGCCCACCGTCGCCGCCGCGCTGCTCCGCCTGCACTTCCACGACTGCTTCGTCAGGGTACGTGACTGCGTGCGTGTGCGTCCATTGCCAGTGCCAGACTGCCAGTGCGCGCACTGACCGTGTGGGTGTGCATGCGTGTGTTCCACTGTCTCGCCAGGGCTGCGACGCCTCCGTCCTGCTCAACTCCACCGCCGGCAGCGTGGCCGAGAAGGACGCGCCGCCGAACCTGACGCTGCGCGGCTTCGACTTCGTCGACCGCGTCAAGACCCTCGTCGAGGAGGCCTGCCCCGGCGTCGTCTCCTGCGCCGACGTCCTCGCGCTCGCCGCCCGGGACGCGGTCGTCGCCATTGTGCGTGAGCGGCTGTACTTCTCTGGTGCCTGGATGATGGACCATCGACCATGCATGAGCTGACAACTGAGTGCTCGATCGATCGGACTTGTTGGCAGGGTGGGCCGTCGTGGCGCGTGCCGACGGGGAGGAGGGACGGCACGGTGTCCACCATGCAGGAGGCGCTCAACGACATCCCCAAGCACACCATGACCTTCCCGGAGCTGGCCAACCTGTTCGCCAGCAAAGGCCTCGGCGTCCGTGACCTCGTCTGGCTCTCAGGTATACCCACCTCTACATGACGACTACTCTCCTCCACATGGCAGTAATAAACCAAATATTTGTCACTAGACGTGGATCATGTATGTATTTTATACTCGTAATAAAACATGCTTAAGGCCTTGTTTGGATGCATGTGTATCCACCTTCAATCCACATGTGTTGGAGTGAAATAAAATAGAATTTAGTTCAATTCCACTCTAATCCATTTCAACACACGTGGATTAATATGAATACATGCACATCAAAACAAGGCCTAAGTACATATCAGTAAAAAAAGATTAGGGATTATTCCTGCAACTAGATCAAACGTGAATTTCACAAAAGTTCGATAGGAGGGAGATTTTAAACAAAAAATGCCGCCCGGTATGGTTGAGACTTGAGAGAGGCGTAGGCCTGAGATAGCCTGGTTCTGATTGCCCATTCCTTGCATGTTGATTGGGCAACAGCAACAGCAGTACTACATGCAAAAGCAGCACAAATAATGGTTGCTTTCGCTGCCACTCTTAAACCGGATCGCCAGATTCCTTGAGAGAAATGATCCGAATTTACTTTCAGCTCCGATCCACTCATCGCTGCCAGCTTCCTGTCCTCTCGATATGTCCGCATCAGATGCTCCTTTCACTATATATTTCATAATAGTTGAGCACTGACCATTCCTGATTCCTCTGAAATGAAATTCCTGAATTAGAGCTGTTCTTGAATTCAGTTTTTTTTAAAAAAATAAAGAAAACAGTGCAGCGCCATCCACCAATGTGTGTGTGCATACTGCATAGTTCATATATACATAGGTCACTAAATTAACTAGTCGATTTTCAATGTTTTTTTTGCTCCCAGAAATCAAACTGTTCATTTTCCTCCCAAAAAAAATAAACTGTTCATCAGCAACCTGAAAACCATCTGCAAAAATGCAGACTTTTCCTAAAAAAAATGCAGAGACAAGTGCTTAAATCTTTGGAAAAACGGTGTTTTTGCCCATGTCTACCCCTGTTATTTTGAAACGAATGAGCAGTTTGTCCCTGATTTGGATGTCCGTTATTTAGAGGCTGATTAAACGATTTAAAAAAAATAAAACACATAAAATCATATGCGAAATGACTGAAATGCCCTTATCACACTTATCCCATCCGCACCGTATCCACCGGTGCCTATTGGGCAGGGCGCGCGACATCGACGGGGGAGGCATGGCCAGCGGGCTCGCGACGCGGCGGGCGCGGCAAGGCGAGCGCTGCGGTGGGTGCGGCTGAGCGGGCGTTGCGGCCGTGCGAGCTCGCAGCGCGGCGGGTGCCGCTAGGCGGGCGCGCTGCGCTGTGGGTGCGTAGCTCCCTCTCTCACCTCTGCCTCTCGCCACCGCTATGCTTGCTCGCTCTCCTTCTCCGCCCTCGCCGAAGCCGCCGCCGTCTCTGCGCTCTTCCTCTACTCTACCCTCTCTCCCTCTCTGCTCCACCCCACCAGACCGACGTCGGCGCACAGCTGCTCCGCTCGCTCTCTCTCTGCCTTGCTCCCTCCTCTCTACCTCTCTCTCACTTTCTCTCTGCCTCTCCCGCGACCCAGCCAACAGGGGGATGAGGACGGACCGAGGCCGTTCGCCCCAGGCCACGTCGCCTTGGCCAATGGACGGGACACCTCACCTTACGGGTCCCGCCTGTCATTGGTATAGAGACCCACCCCCTCTCTCTTTCTCTCTCTGTAAACCCGGTCTTCGTAGACCAAAGGGAGAAAGAGGATAGGTCTATAGATCGGTGCACAGGCACAGTGCTGGTCAGCTCTAACCTCTGACTGGCCACACGCGTCAGACTCTAGCCGCAGGGAAAATGCTATGTGCACAGGGAAAAAAGTCTAATTCCAAATCAGGGTAAAATCATAATTAGGCATAACAAACAGAGGCAAAATCGCATGGGCATTCATGTCCTTTTGTACAAAGTTTAACACCGTTAGGGGTGGATGATGGAGCAGGGGCAAATTGATGCTTCATTTTAAAATCATAAGGGTAAATTCACAAAGTCAAAAATAACAGGGGCAAAATCACAATTTCGATACAAAACAAAACAAGGGTATAACCGCGAGAGCCCCTAAATCTTTCATGCAGTTCAGGCTGTTCTAGTACTCTTTGTACGCCATTGCCCTCTATGTTTGTGACACATGTGGAATGCAACGGATCGAGCAGGCGCGCACACGATCGGCATCGCGCACTGCTCGTCGTTCGCCGTCCGCCTATACGGCTATCCGGGCGCCGGCGGCGGCAACGACACGACGGACCCGTCCCTGGACGCGACCTACGCCGCCAACCTCCGGAGGCGCAAGTGCCGGGCGGCGAGCGGCGGGTACGCCGAGGACGCCGTGGTGGAGATGGACCCGGGCAGCCACCTGACGTTCGACCTGGGCTACTACCGCGCGCTGCTCAAGCACAGGGGCCTGCTCCGCTCCGACGCCGCGCTGCTCACCGACGCGGCGGCGCGCGCCGACGTCGAGGGCGTCGTGGGCGGCGCCGAGGAGGTCTACTTCCAGGTGTTCGCGCGGTCCATGGCAAGGCTGGTGACGGTGCAGGTCAAGACCGGAGCCGAGGGGGAGATCAGGAGGAACTGCGCCGTCGTGAACGGCGGCTAAGTTACTTGCATTTTTTTTCTTCTTTTCGTTTTTCCATTCTCCCTCGTGATCATTACTGCTAGTGAAGAATACTGTGATTTTGCTCTTACATTTGGGTGATTTACACTCAGTACGATTATTATGTTCAAAATTTTGTTACGCTTCACTTATTGTTAGAGTATATATCTTGAGACGTTTGATGGTTTTGTATACGTACTACCTTATATACTGAGTTATTATACATAACAAATTCTAAGCAGTTGCCCCTGTTTCTCCCCCTGGGCCCTGGCCTGCCCTGCCAACCGCGCCACTGCCGGTCGAGCACTACCCGCTCGCCCGCCGCTGCCCCGCCCCGGCGGGATCCAGCGTCTCCGCCTCCTGCCCGACCCATCCAACCCACAGGCCAGCATCCTCCCCGCCTACCTCGCGCGCGCCGGCACTGGAAGGCAACGGCACGGGGGCTTCTCCCCTGGCGCCTTGCTTTCCGTCCCGGCCTCCTATTTGGCGCACCGCCCGGATCCGACGTCCCTCTCCCTCCCTCTCTGGCGCACCCCTCAACGGCGAGGACCGGCCCATCTCCCTGTCTAGCGGGCAGCGGCTCCATAGAAACTCAGGCAAGCAGGAGCCCCGATTTATGCGATATTACTGCAAACGCTCGTTCAAAGCAACCTGCAACTGCAAGCTGTGTGCTTTTTAGCAGTTCTCGCTTTGGGCAATTCAATTGGCCGCCTAACACAATTTTGATGGTGGCAAACATTCAGGCTATTAACCTACCGAAGAATCAGGATTATCTACTCAGGTTGCATGAACACACATGAATCAGGGGTTATATGCATACATGACTGATAGAATCCAGAGAATAAACAAGTGTTGATGATACAGACATACAGTTATGAGCTAGCAAAGCCACCTTTTATGCCCTCAGCGCACCTGAGGCGAACTGCAGATCATGCGACTATAATAGAACTCTTGAGACACGCACAGGTGGCTAAACAGAAACCAAAGTACTCTGTTCTCAGGTGTGCTTCATCTTCTACATAACTTTATTTTGCATGGCATCAATGGCACTGAAGAAAGAAAACCTCCTGGACTTGCAGAGGAATAATGCTCCAAACCACAGCCAGAACCCAAAGACAACACCAGCAATTATTTAGTATAGCCATATGATATCAAGATCTTGGTGGAGTTCATTTACCCCATCCAAGGTATGGTTTTCACAAGCAATGCTTAGGGGAAAACCACAAAGTCCTGGATTATTGCTGTAAGAGGAATTATCAAGCGTTCTGAGTTGATCTCCAATAGGTATCTCTCCTGACAGATTGTTGCTCGAGAGATTTAGTGAAGTGAGACACGACAAGGATGACATGCTTAAAGGAATAGGGCCTGAAAGTTTGTTCCAAGAGAGGTCAAGTGATTCTAAAAGTGACAGATCGCCAATCTGTTCCGGGATACCACCAGCTAGATAATTTCTTGACAGATTCAGCATACGGAGACCCTTTAATTTTGTCAACTCTGAAGGAATTCCACCAGAGAGGGAATTGCAAGACAAATCAATAGCTGCCATAAAGTCAGCTGATGACTGAAACATATAATCTCGTCCTTTCCAAACTATGTCAACGTGCCCAATGTCGATGATTTCTTGCTGCATGATGGATTGCTTCCACATTGAATATAAGTTGGCCAGTGTTTTTGGTATTGAACCTGTAAAATTGTTTTGAGCTAGATCAAGCAGATGGAGATAGGAGAGCTGTGAAAGTTGCCAGGGAATACTTCCATAGAATAAATTTGATCTCAGCCGGAGAATCCTCAACAAAGGATTGCTCTCATGTATCCATGGAGGGATCATTCCATAAAACTTGTTGTTTCCAAGATCCAGAATAGCTATGCTTTTCAAGTTCTTCAACACTTCTGGAAGGTGTAACGCACCGACCTGGGAAAACAGCTAAGGTCCACTTTACACGTTAAATGAACCACACCTGCTACTTAACTCTCTTGCACTTTCATCCTCGCTTCGTACAAAAGAAACGATCCGGAGTTAACAGTCTCCCAGGTCCAGGCTTTTAAGTTGCTCATGGTTCGAATACTAAACCAAGCTACCTAGTAGGACAAATATTCAGGACCGACTCTCTTGGCCACGACCGTATTCCTAGCTCCCCGGCCAAAGTGCCATGCTCTTGCAGAGCCATGCGCAACATGTCCAAGCTCCCGAGCCATACGTCCGTGAAACCGCGAGAGTTGGCTCTGAATACTATTTGCTCCCCGGCCAAAGTGCCATGCTCTTGCAGAGCCATGCGCAACATGTCCAAGCTCCCGAGCCATACGTCCGTGAAACCGCGAGAGTTGGCTCTGAATACTATTTGTAACACCCTAGGCTCGGCACACGGCACAGACCCACTCTACCGAGGGGTGGGCCCCACCTACGTAGCAACCCGCTTGCGCTTTCGTCATCGTTTCGCTCAAAACGGTTAACCAACGGTTACTACGCGTCCTTGGCCTGGCTATTTAAGCTGGTTTGACGAACTCGGAATTCACGGTATGGTACTAAACTTCTGGTATGGTACTAAACTTCTGGTTGTACAATATTTTCTGCAACTAAGCGTTATAGCTACAATAGCCCGGCCCACCGCAATTCGGCCCATGAGCTGGGTCTCACATCCACCCACTCTCAATGGGTTCGACGTCCTCGTCGAGCTATCGCCACCCACTCTCAATGGGTTCGACGTCCTCGTCGAGCTATCGAACCAGCTTACCCATACGGGACAAATGTTCAGGATCGACTCTCTTGGCCACATTCATATTCCCAGCTCCCTGGCCCAAGTGACATGCTCTTGCGGAGCCATGCGCAGCCTGTCTAAGCTCCTGAGCCATACGTCCATGAAACCGCGAGAGTTGGCTCTGAATACCATTTGTAACACCCCAGGCCCGGCACACGGCACAGGCCCCACTCTACCGAGGTGTGGGCCCCACCTACACCCGCTCGCGTTTTCGTCCTCGCTTAGCGTAAAACGGTTAACCGAAGGTTACTACGCGTCCTTGGCCTGACTATTTAAGCTGGTTCGGCGAACTCAGAATTCACGGTATGGCACTAAACTTCTGGTTGCACAGTGTTTTCTGCAGCTACAGTACTCATCGTACAATAACCCGAATTCAGCCCGGCCCAATTCAGCGTTATAGCTACAGTACCCAGCCCAACCGCAATTCGGCCCCTGAGCTGGGTCTCACAGAAGGCTTCCCGTGAAGTTGTTGTTGGATAGGTGCAGTGACATTAGTGAAGACATAGAGTTTATCTTGGTTGGCACTTCTCCAAACAAATTATTGCTAGACAAATCCAAGAATCGTAGGTAAGGATAGTTCCAAATGCAACCTGGGAGCTCTCCAAATAGTTGGTTGTTGGACAGATCCAAGATTTGCAAACTACTATTTATGAGTCGACATAAAGTGGGCAACTCCATGCCATTGAGATTAGAAATGCTACTTGTGAGCTTATTGTCAGACAAAATGAGATATCTGAGATTTGGGAGAATTGATATAGATGCAGGAAGCTCGCCCTCAAGATGATTGGTGCTGATGTCAATGGATACCACCAAAAATGAGAAGTTACCGATTTGCTGTGGTATCGTTCCAGTAAAGTGATTCTCTGACAAGTCCAGATATTCTAAGTTTGCCAGGTTTTCCAACTCTATTGGGATTGAGCCAACAAAACTGTTGCCAAAGAGGGAGAGAATCTGAAGGTTCATGGAGTTCGCGATCTGCGTTGGGATGCTTCCGTTGAACAAGTTGTCAGACAAGTCAAGCACGAGTAGCTCCGTGCAGTTTGTAAATAACTCCGGTGGAATGGCCCCGCTGAGATTATTTCCGTTTAAATAGAAGGTTTCCATTCCTTGCATCTTGGCAAAAGACGTTGGTAAACATCCATGCAACTGGTTCTCTGATAAGTCCATCAAAACGAGGCCGGTAAGGTTCCCCAACTCCGCTGGGATGATTCCATGGAACGAGTTATCAGACAAGTCGAGGATGAAGAGCTCCGTGCAGTTTGTAAATAACTCTGGCGGAATGACCCCACCGAGATTATTCCTGTTTAAACTGAAGTATTTTATGCTTTGCAACTTGGCAAAAGACGGTAAAGTACCATGCAACTGATTCTGTGATAAGTACATGTAATTGAGGCTGGTAAGGTTCCCCGACTCGGCTGGAAGAGTTGAAAACAAACCAGCATTAAATATTTCAAGCGACTCTAGCATTTGAAGTTTCCCGAGTGATGCTGGGATCGATCCACCAAGTAAGTTGTTTGATAGACTAAGAATACGCAATCTAGGTATCATCCCCAGCTCTCCTGGGACTCCAGCAGTGAGATTATTTGTATCAAGATCTAGTTCCCTGAGCTTTCGGAGCCTTGAAAGTGAACGTGGTATTGCACCAGAGAATCCATTATATGACAGATTCAAATAGCTTAATCTCGGGACCGTCTCTGGCAGTGAGCCTGGTATATGTCCCAAGAAGGAATTAGATGATAAATCAAGTGATCTCATCCACGTGCAGTTGAGGATAAACTGGGGGAAGGTGCCGTCAAGACTATTGTTCCTTAAAGATAAGAATTTCAAACTGGGCATAGGTAAAAACCTGGCAGATTCTGGGTTGAACAAGTGGTTGTTACCGAGATCAAGATGGGCAATCATAGGGAGCTTACTGAGTTGGTAGGGGATGGCACCACTGAGACTGTTGCTGTTCAAGTCAAGAAAGGTGAGAGTGAGCAACATGGACAGGTTCGCTGGGATGGTACCAAAAAGGTGATTGTTGCTGAGGTCAAGCCTGGTGAGATTCTGGAACGTGGTGCGGTAGAAGGCATCAAGCTTGCCGTTGATCCCTGCACTGCGAAGGCGGAGCGCAGTGACGTGGCCGGCACCGTCGCAGGCGACGCCGAACCAAGAGCAGATTGAATTGGCAGGCGACCACGAGGACAGGGAGCTGGCTCCAACCAGGGTGGATTTCCATCGGAGAAGTGCATCTGCTTCTGGGTTGATGGCAATGGCTGGGCATATTAGCACAAAAAAAATGAGATCTGGAGGATTAGCTGTGGCTCCATGGTCAAGGCTTGTTTTGGGTTGAAGGTGATAAGTTGCAGTGGATTGCATGTATCTCTGCACCTTAATTTGGAAATAGCCACAAGGCTTATAGAAGAAGAGATTTTAGAAGGAGGAAATAACTCACTCTTCTCTGAAAAAGATGGAACGTTCAGCCTCACTTGACCGGCAATTTTACATAGATGACCATTAGTCAGCAGTCGTCCACTAATCCACCAAGGAAGGGCTGATGCAGCATACCATAATTAGTGCACTACTGGAAGACTAAACCCACCATCTCGGTATTCCACGTCAACTTCATAATCATCGCTCACTTAAGTGTCAACCTTGCTCCATTCTAAAATATAAGGTATTTAAGTATTTAAAATTTATCCTAAATTGTACTCCCACTTTCCCAAATTAAATAAACTTCTAGAGACATTCTTAATTTTGATCAAAATTAAAAAAAGAGCACCAATATTTATGGCACCAAATTAGTATCCAGATGCATCATGAAATATATTTTCATAATATACTTATTTGGTGTCATGTTGTTATCTTTTTTATATAAAGCTGGTCAAACTTAAGATAGTCTGACTTAGGGTCATTACAAGAATTGATTTATTTTGAGAGGGAGTAAGATAGATTTAAGTGAAATCACCGCCAACTCAATTTTAAAAAGAACATTTAATGCATACCTACAATTGGTATTGGTATCTAATTGCCAACCATTTTCACACGATTAAGGGAGTTATATGCATCATTTATTTTTACCCCTATAATTTGTCCTAAAATTTATAGAATTCATTATATTTCAGGACGGAAGGAGTAAAATAAATTGTAACTTATTTTTTCACATCTATGGAAAGAAATTGGCAAGTGCAATTTTGTGATAGTACGACATATGCAAGTAAGCATTGACTGTTAGATTTAATAGGACTTGGACTACTACATATTAAATTTAAATCAAATTAACTCCCAAGTCCTATAAAGCGTTGTAATATCGTATTTGAAATCGACTAAAAAGTTGACTAAGTTTGTGGCTTTTGCGTGCACCAGTTGTAAAGTTGAGATTGACAAAAGTCATGCCACATGCGTGCACCTCTGCCACTGCTGAGCCGAGGCATGTAATACGTATCGAAACAACGTGTGGTGCGTGTTCGATCCTCGAGGTCCAAGGGTAGATGACCATCAGTCAGCAGTCGTCCACTGATCCACCATGGAAGTGCTGATGCAGCATATCATCCAGAGACCTTCTGTAACTTTTAGGGACCTAACTGTAATTCTTAGCCCACCGAAGAAAATTATGTAAACAACCACCTTCGTCCTCTACTATCTACTACCAAACAAAAGGTAGCAAGGGCCACGTGTTACAGTCTGATAGATGATGTTTCATCAAGTGTGATAAGACTGAGTGCACAATGTCATCCCATGTGGCGCCAATGCCATGACTTAGCCGACATCATCAACCGAAGATCAACTGCTACCATTCAAATAATATACTCCCACGAAACATCAGTGTTCAAGTGCCGCGAACAGCAGAGCACGACCACTCAAAAGAACCAGGGCACTGACAAAAGACTAGCCACCACGGGGTATATTTAGGTACAGGTAACAGGGCATGTTTTGCCTTCAGGAAAGCAAGAAAAAACTTGACTGCTTATAAACCGCATCCACAAAGGATCAATATGAAGGTTTTTTATGCAAGGTAAATTCTAGCATCAAATACATAGGGCTTTACACATGCAAGAGCTATAGATCATTCCAGTACCATCTCGACATTCTACTTAGTCCACGTCGACTTCCTCATCATCAGCCTCGTACTAGGAAACAGACAAAACAAATTGTGAGCATATTGTTTAGCAGATCTACAAAAGAAAATGAGGAACTAGTTTTGAATGTGTAGTCAGTCTGATCGCACGTGCAAGGTTTGTCATTTTCAACAGGATGCAAATTCATTTTTATCTATTCTTCGAAGGACGTAGGATGCAAGGTTAGTCACCTGCTCGTAAGTATTAACCGCTGGTGGTGGTTGTGGGGGCATAACAGGCAACCTAGTTTCGTCATCAGCATCATTTTCTATTGATGCGGTTATTGGATCATGTCTATCCTCCAGTTCAACAGCTTCAAACAGATCATCCACAGCATGAGCAGCCATACCAGTGGAGGGCAAAACATGTTTGGCTGGAGATTCTTTGACCTGTAAGTTTAAAAATATCTACTCAATAGAAGTTTGAACTCATACTACGCACAGTCCGAATCATGTCAACGGTCATGAAGCTAGCAGGACCGATGACAAAGGAAGGCTATACAATTTTATATATTGCTACCACTTGTTAAGATGTTTTAATGGGTAAGCAAGAGTAAACAGAGCAATGAGGGTCAACCTTAAACTTCACTAGTTCATGTTGTGGCTTAGAATGAAAATAAGAGCATATGCATATAAATAGGATGATGTCCATGTTATACCAGCCAGCTATGAGAACATGATATAGATAATATCATAAAATTGAGTTAGCACATGAGAAATATTGCACCTTGTCAGTGTTGGCTGAGGGAACAAAATTGCCTATCTTATCCTTTTCATCTTCCCACAGCTTCTTCTTCAAATACAAAGATTTTGTTGGCTCAATCCCCTTGCTTGGTTTTTCAAATTCTGCAATAGTACCTTCTGACCTATATTTATCTGGCCTAGTTGTGTCAGAGTCTCGCTCTCTTCTCTTCTTCACTGAAAAGGACAAGATTAGACATGAGTACATAATTGATAGGAAGACATATCTTTAAACACAGCAAGAAATGTTGCTGAGACGTAAATGGGAAAAAAAACTCTCCCTTGTCAAAGAATATGATTCATTTGGACAAGTTCAGATGTTATACTTTGAAAGTACTCAAATTCTAAAATATCAAATTTTCAAATGAAGGGAACACTTTATTAAGTGTTTCTATAAAAGGGTAGCCAACTAATCATATCAGCTCCAATGTTTGAAGTTCATCAGAGGAAGGATTAGCTTAGACTCCAAGAAATAAATACATTGACAACAACCGTAGGAGAAACGGATGCTATTTAAGAAAAAAAAACTCTCCCTTGTCAAAGAATATGATTCATTTGGACAAGTTCAGATGTTATACTTTGAAAGTACTCAAATTCTAAAATATCAAATTTTCAAATGAAGGGAACACTTTATTAAGTGTTTCTATAAAAGGGTAGCCAACTAATCATATCAGCTCCAATGTTTGAAGTTCATCAGAGGAAGGATTAGCTTAGACTCCAAGAAATAAATACATTGACAACAACCGTAGGAGAAACGGATGCTATTTAAGAAGATTCATTCGCATCATACTAATGTCAACCTTAAGACATATCAGCTCCAATGTTTGAAGTTCATCAGAGGAAGGATTAGCTTAGACTCCAAGAAATAAATACATTGACAACAACCGTAGGAGAAACGGATGCTATTTAAGAAGATTCATTCGCATCATACTAATGTCAACCTTAAGACAACATCATCACTGTACACTCTTCAGAGACAGAGACTAAGCTATACCCACCGGCTTTCGCTTCTTCACTTGTTGAGTATGGTATTGATCTCTTCTTAGCTGTAGCAGCATTGGGGCTCCTTTCATAAGGACCATTTGGATCTTCATCAACATTGATACTGGAAACTTCTTCATTAGCACCACGCTTCAGAATATCTGAAGCAAGCAAATCACCAAGTCTCTCAAAACGAGCTTGTGACCTGCACAATTCCATTTAATTAATAATAATCATTAATTCATAATCATGTGGATATAGACATGAACTGGTGCAGCAAGACAGGACAAAAATGTTTTCCAAATTGTTAAGCTGAAAAGTGATGAAAGCACAATGTACCTTTTCAATTCTTCCTGTGCTTTCAAAAAGCGAGCATGGGCTTTAATGAACTTTTTCATTTTTGAGGTCATCCTACATTGGAAATTAAAAAAAAAAAACATGACAACTATATACTTGAAGACACCATGGAGCTAAACAAAAGAGGCACCCTATTGTGTAAGTACCTGTGGCATTCCTCTTTCTCCTTCCTTAGCTGCAGATCAAGATCATTTACTCTGCTAGAAATCTTGCGCACTTCAGCATTCTTCTCATCCAAAATTATCTATGGAAGGAATAGTTAATATGACCATCGAGTTTGGATTTACACAGGATAAAGCTATTTTAAAGGATAGGTGTTGAATTGTGAAGATTCAGAGTTAAAAGAGTACATGGCCAATGACAACTTGTAGGATTTAGAAAGTAAAAGAAACATTATCAGCATATAAAGCATGTAAATAAAGACACTAAGAAGAACTGTTATGCTAATGCCCTAACCGAGCACTCCATCAAAATGTTTAAACCATTATGGACATTGCGAAGCAAGGAACACACAGAAACTTTTACAAATTACTGCTCCATCAAAATGTTTAAACCATTATGGACATTGAATATAAGTTTAAACCATCAGGACACCAAATACTCTTCATCAGTCAATGAGAATAGTTATTGCAATCAGCACCAAGCAAATCAAGCCATTAAAGCATGATTGATGATGATGTAGCTGTAAGCCCTGCTTCCCAGGCACATTTAGTGTATTTAAGTTTTTAGTTAATCTATGTCATTAAGTCCTTGGGTAGCCCAAGAGTTGTGCGGGTACCCAGGCAGATATTCTGTCTAGTTAAAGCTCTAGTGAGCTGTATGTAATCAATGCAGTACTTATCCTCTATATATTGCAATGCAGTCGCCTGGGAGAGTTGCCCTGGCTGATTATTTCTCTGTTAACTCCAACAATTGGTATCAGAGAGTAGTTTAGACACCTTCTCACCTTCTCATCTTCTCCATGACGTCAACCTCCTCTGAGCGCCGGGCTAGGAAGACCAAGGGAGCCACTGAGGGCGAGCTGGGCGACCCCTCTGGCAGGGCTGCGCGCCTGAAGGCAGCAGAGGAGGCGGCGGCGCTGGCTGTCAAGGCGGCACAGCAGGCTGCAGCAGCCGCGGAGGCGGCGGCCAGGACAGCGCAGGAGCTGCGGGCGGAGATAGCAGCAGAGAAGGGAGATGAGGAGGAGGAGGAGGAAGAAGAAGAGGAGGACCGGAGGAACCGGCGGCCGCGGACTCCGCCGCGGGACAGGCGCCGTTCGCAGTCACCACTGCGTGACCGAAGGCGTCGTGGCGGCGGTCGCTATGAGTCGCCGCAAGGCAGGGTGGTCTACCGCGATTCCGGCAGCGGCACATCATGGCCAATGCTGGACAAGACCAATTATTATGAGTGGAGCCAGACGATGAAGCTCAGGATGCAGGCGCGCGACCTCTGGGAAGCTGTCGAAGGAGGCCCAGTGCAGTTTCGCGACGACAGGCGAGCTCTGGAGGTGATCGTCGCTGCTGTGCCCAAGGAGTTGGGGCTCCCGCTCCTCGACAAGGCGACGGCAAAAGAGGCATGGGATGCCATCGCTGCGACTCGTATCGGTGTGGACAGGGTCCGCCGAGCGACGTTGCAGCGACTGCGTCGGGAGTGGGAGAACATTGACGTCAAGCCTGGCGAGCCGGTGGAGGATTTTGCCCTGCGGCTGTCAACTCTGCACCAGCAGCTGGTGCTTCATGGAGACAGGGACATCGATGAGGCGCGTGTTGTGGAAAAGTTTACGCGCGGTGCGCAAGCCGACCAAGCACTGTAGCAGAGATCGTCGCCGCCATTGAGCGGTTCCTCGACTTGGCGCTCACGCTTGAAGAGGTGACAGGGAAGGCTCAAGGCGGTGGATGACCGTGAAGCGCAAGGCGTGATGTGAGCGGTGTCCATCAGCGGCAAAACTGCTTTGACACCGAGGAAGCGATGGCGTGCGCGTTGAGGAAGGAGAAGAAAGGTCACGAAGAAGAAATTTGGCGGTTCTAGTTTCAAGAACCGGCCTTGGCGGTGGCGGAGGACCCAATGCGCGGAGGTGGACGCTGACGGAAGGCGAAAGTCTTTGGCGTGGCGGCGGACGTGGAGAAGGCAATGGCGCCGGCCGTGTTGGCCCCAACACGTGTCTCAACTGCCATCAGGAAGGGCATTGGGCGCGTGAATGTCCCCAGCCGCGCCGTGATGGAACAGAGCGCGGCGGCGGGGGAGGAAATCATGGTGGACGCGGCGGCGGAAACCGTGGAGGAGGCCGTGGCGGCGGTAACCAAGCTGGGCAGCAAGGAGGACATGAAGGGCGTGCCCAGTTTGCTGAGTGTGAGGAAGATGCAGCTCTGTTCCTGTCTCACGGCTTCATTGAGATGGAACGAAGAGCACGGAGCTCAACTATCTGGTAGTAGTAGCGTTGAGTTCTTTGAGCCACGTGCGCGTGCTTATCTGGGAGCAGATGATGAAGAGATGGCTGGCGGCTGGTACCTTGATTCAGGCGCAACACACACCACATGACTGGGCGGCGTGACCTGTTTTCAGACCTGAACACGGACGTTCGAGGCACGGTTCGGTTCGGGGACGCGTCCAAGGTGGAAATCAAGGGCGTTGGCTCAATTGTTTTTGAAGCAAAGACTGGTGAGCATCGTGTTCTTCATGGAGTTTATTTCATTCCGGCGTTGAAGAACTCGATCATGAGCCTCGGTCAACTTGATGAGAATGGCTCAAAGGTGGTGATTGATGATGGAGTACTGCGGATTTGGGAACGCAGCAGCGGTCGCCTACTGGCCAAGGTGAGGCGTGGCGCGAACCGTTTGTATGTATCTTGCATATGAAGACAAAGACCTGACCGGTGTGTCTTCTTTCACAGCCTTGAGGATGAGGAGGCGTGGCAATGGCATGAGCGTTTTGGGCATCTGAATTTTGAGGCCCTGCGGAGGCTTGGCAAGGAGGAAATGGCAAGAGGGATGCCAAAGATCGATCATGTTGAGCAAGTGTGTGACACTTGTGTCACCACCAAACGAGAGGAGGCGATCATTTTCTGCTGCTGACAACATATCGTGCTCGGGATCACCTTGAATTGGTGCATGGTGATCTCGTGGGCCGATTACACCAAACAACCCGGCGGTAATCGCTATATTCGCCGCTTGTAGATGATGCCACACGATTCATGTGGGCGATCTTCAGCATCATCTAAGGATCTTTGCAGCAGATGCTATCAAGAAGGTGAAGGTCTGCTGCGCAGAGGTGGAGAGTGGGCGAACTGAAAGTTCTGCGCCACAGATAATGGAGGAGAGTTTCTTGTTGCGAATTTGCGCTTATTGTGCCAATGAAGGAGTCAAAAGGCATTACAAGTGCTCCTCATTCACTGCAATGAGAATGGCGTGGTGGGCGTAGAAATCAAACCGTGGTGGCTATGGCACGTGCCTTACTCAAGCGGCGCCAGATGCCACCCAAGTTTTGGGGGAGGCGGTGATGGCCGCTTGTGCATATTCTCGAATCGGTCACCAACCAAGGCTCTAGGTGATGTCACTCCCTATGAAGCATGGCATGGCCGAGCACCCATTGTTGGCCATCCGAAGGTGTTTGGTTGTGTGGCATATACTACCGTTTGTCTCATTTCAGGAAACTTGATGATCGTGGTGAAATTTGGAGTATTTATTGGCTATCTTTGAAGGAGCAAAAAGCCTATCGAGTTTTGATCCAAACATCTCGCGGCGTGCGTGTCACCGAGATGTGGTTTTTGATGAAGGAAGAGGTTGGGATTGGACATCACCGGTGAGAAGTGCGTCTGGGGCGGTGGTAGTGATTTTGTGGTGGAATTTCCTTGGGAGGAAGAAGTCCACGGAGCTGGAGGTTCAATGCAGGTCACACTCATCTCCTCGGCCCCATTACGCCTCACCAAGCTTTCCAAGCAGAGAATCGGTGCTTGATGCGAGGAGAAGAGGTGTCACGAGACATCCGAACGCCATCACCATCACCGGCCCAAATGACCCACAAGTGGAGCACGTGACTCCTTGGAAGATGATGAGGGCAATTTGGATACTTATCACAACAACGATTTAGCAATTGCGCTTATCGTACCATAGATGGCATATTAGGCGGGAGCAGGAAGTTCGCCCACGGCCGCAGCGCTTGTTTCGCAGTGAGCTCCACCTCACCCACTGGGAACCCATTTCTTATGCAGAGGCAAAAGATGATCTGCATGGCGTGACAAGAATGAAAGAGGAGCTGTATTTGTTGAGTATAATGGCACTGGGAGCTTGTGTCTCCCCGAGTGGCCATCGGCCAATTTCTCTAAAATGGGTCTACAAGTCAAGAAAGATGAGAAAGGAGATGTGATCAAGCACAAGGCTCCGGCTTGTTGCTCGTGGGTTTGTGCTTGACAAGAGGGTGTTGATTATGAGGATGTGTTCGCTCTGCTTGCGCGCATAGAATCAAGTGAGACTGCTGCTTGCTCTAGCTGCCCAGGAAGGATGGACTGTTCATCATATGGATGTCAAGTCACTTTTCTAAATGGAGAGCTCAAGGAAGAAGTATATGTCCAAAGCAGCCACTGGGTTTGCTATTCAGGGGAAGAAAGCAAGGTATATCGTCGCACAAAGCTTTGTATGGGCTGAAGCAGGCACCAGGTATGTGGAACGCTAAGTTGGACTCTCTACGAAGGAAATGGGGTCCAAACAGAGCAAACATGAAGCGACAATTTCTGAGGAAAGGTTCGAGAGGGCTCAGTGTTCTTTGGTTGGGGTCTATGTTGATGATCCGATCATCTTTGGAGCGATCAAAGATGAAGTAAAGGCCTTCAAGGAAAGGATGAAATCCACCTTTGAGATGAGTGACTTGGGTTTGCTCGGTTTCTACCTTGGCATTGAAGTGCAAACAAGGCAAGAATGGGACCACCATGAGGCGGACTCACTATGCCAAGAAAATCCTAGAACGGGAAGCATGTCGATTGCAATCCAATGACTACACCAATGGAAGAGCGCTCAAGCTCGCCAAGCATAGCATCGCCAAGGAGGTGAATCCAACTCGGTATAGGAGGTGGTTGGAAGCTTGAGATACTGGTTCATACCGAGGCTGATTTGGCTTTCTCGGTGGGCTATGTGGAGTGATTCTTGGAGAAACCGACCACGAGCACCAAACAAGCGATCAAGAGGGTCTTTGAGGTACTTGGTGGAACATTGGACTATGGTCTGCAGTTCAAAAGAGCCCCAAATTCTGCTAGGTTTGTGGGCTCTTGTGATTGAGACCTAGCCGGTGATATTGACTCAAGCAAAAGCACAACAAGGTTGTCTGTTCTTCTTTGGCAATGACTTTGGTCATTTGGCAATCTATCAAGCAGAGGGTGGTGGCTTTGTCTAGTTGTGAGGTGAATATGTGGCTATGACTTGGCAGCAACAACACAAGCCCCTGTGGGTCATCAAGATTGTTGGGTGATTTGTTGGGAAGAAAGGTGGAGACTGTGGGCGAGGGTTGACAACAAGTCTGCGCAATTGCACTTGCTAAGAACCCTGTCTTCCATGATGAGAGCAAACATATCGAGTTAAGCAACATTTTATCGGGATTGTATTGAAGAAGGCGACATCGGGATCTGAGTACATCCCTACTGGTGATCAATTGGCGGACATTCTCACTAAGGCTTTGGGCAAGGCCAAGCTTGAAGATATGAGAAGCGAATTGGCATCAAGCGAGATCAAGAAGGGTTGAAGCAGGTCTTAGGGGAGAAGCAGAAGGCTGTAAGCCCTGCTTCCCTGCACATTTAGTGTATTTAAGTTTTTAGTTAATCTATGTCATTAAGTCCTTGGGTAGCCCAAGAGTTGTGCGGGTACCCAGGCAGATATTCTGTCTAGTTAAAGCTCTAGTGAGCTGTATGTAATCAATGCAGTACTTATCCTCTATATATTGCAATGCAGTCGCCTGGGAGAGTTGCCCTGGCTGATTATTTTCTCTGTTAACTCCAACAGATGAATGGTCAGTGTCCCACAATATGAACAGAATGGTTGAGCTTACAACGGAAAATAGGCAAGTGTTATAAATTGCAATTACAAAGTCCTATATACATCAATTTTCTAGCCAGTACACTAGTGCAAAAAGAAAAGTAACAAAATACCTAAATCTGACCACACACACACCACCACCACCACCAATTACCCATAGAAACATCAACTAAAAACTGACATGGTTTACCAGCATGCAATATACGATAGTATAAGTAGAGACTGTCAAAACTAACCTCCAAGTGAGATTTATCATCGCGCAAAAGTTCCATATCCATTTGTTTCAGCTGCAGAATAATCTTACTTTTAATTATACAGTGGCAGGGTGTGCTAAAAGGTGACATGCAGCTATACATTGTATAATGCATCAGACCTGTATTTCGTGATCCTCTTTATCATCACCACTTAAGAGTGTCTCCCTTTTTCTATCATCGTTATTGTCAGAGACACTCAAACTCCTAGATGAGTTAGTTTCTCCATCATCAGGCTTCTTCTCATGCCTCCTTTCACTGAGAGAGGGGAGGTTATAAAGTGGAAAGGTAAGCTACAATATCAACATTTATGTTCCATATTTCACATATTCAACGCAGGTCAGGAACCCAAAACATCAGTAAGATTTCAGAGGTACATAGGTAACATATTCTATTCAGAAAATTTTATCAGAAGAAGCAATTATATTTGTAACAAGCAGATTTTAGTAATTGTTGACATAAAATAAAGCATACAATGTGCTTGCACGTTCTCTAGGGGCACATCTAGCATGCTTATGCCAATACAATGAATACATATAATATGGTGAATAAATGCCACAACTGTGAGTTTGCAAGAATATTAAAATAATGGTTTCAGAGAGGATGCTTTAACATAGTATTCAATGATAAAGGTTTTTAGTTATTTTTAACATAGTATTCAATGATAAAGGTTTGTAGTTATTTGAGCTCCAGATCCATAGTTAACAGAAATGAGGAAATTGCATCACATAAACAAGGCAGATAACAAAGAGATAATAGATAGTAATAAATAAAGAATCGATAATTTGAGCAGCAGACACAGATGTGTTACATGTGTAAAAGCATATATTTACAAATGAATGACTTAATCATATATTAAATGAATTGCATACCTCTTCCTACTGGGAGACCGTGAATAGCTAGATTCTGCAAGTAAAATTTCAGTTTTAATAACTTATACGCCATCGGACATGGAATTCAATAGGAATGTAATAAAAGTGACAGGTCTGGATTTAAAATAAGAAGGCCGTAATTACCCCTTTCTTGGGAATTTGGTCTTCGGTCATGAAGGGAATGATGGCCCTGGAATCTCTGTCGGGGAATGCCTCCTATGAGGCGGCGCCTCCTATCAAACCTATCTCTGAAGTCACCACCTCTATAATCTCTTCTCCCTAGAAGTCAGGATAGAGAAAAATTTATACAAGGATATATGAAGCTGAACGAAAAATGTATCAATATGAACTTATGGAGATAGGTCACCCATAAGCCTGTAACCTTACCACAGCCTTTGAGCTACAAGATAATTCAATGCACAATAAGTAGAAGGGTCTCCAGGATAATACCACTAGCCACAACAAAGTAGGGCTGAAAATTAACGCCATGGGTAGATACCAAAGTATGGTATGAAACCACTGACGTACCCATTAAGATGATACCAAACTCATAATGTTGATTGTTGGAAATCAAATTGATGAAGCACCATGAACAACATCACATAACAATTACGCATGACAAGTTGAGGTCTTCTATAATCCCAATATCATCACAATATAAATCTACTATCATTTGTCCAGATATCTTCCGCGGCGACTTGCAAGAATAACAATAACTTGCAATTACCAGTGAGAATAACACTTCCCAATGAACTAACTGATGCACAATATTCAAGGGTATGTGGCTCAATTAACCATTAAAGCTGCTAAGCACATGACCATGGCACATCAAATGTATTATGGACATCATTCAGTGGAGTCATCATCCAAGATACTGATATGCCAACCTTCTTGATATAGGGACAAGCATTACAGTCACAATAAATTGTTGAAATGCCAACTGAAGAATCTATATAAAGGTCATCTTATCCTCTGGCAGCAGTTGAATCTAATAATCTGCTCAGGAGTCTGCTAATTTGAATGGTAGTTAAATCAAAAGGCAACCAGTAAGAATGCCGCCTAATTCTGCAGACTGCAACAAGCTTCCACTTGTTAGAATTATTTTCTATCTGCAGCAACTGAGGTTGAATTCAAGCACAAATTTAATAAAACACACAAGCACTTAATACAAAACATAGAGAACATGGTACTACAAAATCATGGAGCAAAAATAAAGTTCCACTTGAACCACAATGTCCAGAGGTAAATTTGTTACCCGGAAACCTGTTTCTCCCCCCACCCTTTTTTTTTGCCAAATGAGACACCCAGCACCAGTGTCATTATGACACCATGTTGGATTCCAGGTGCTATTTGGCGTGTCCCAAAAAATCTGCTAATTCAGACACCTGCACCTAAATCAGACACTGATACCCAGACCCATGTGGGCCAAGTCCATGTAACCCCTTAAAGCTCCAAAGATGGTCATCCATAAATGATTCAAGTACAAGTATTCATTCTTTGGCCAGTCACTATCCTGGCTAAATTAACCTAATTCATCCCTTCTGAAATAATAGATATAGATATTCATATCAGCGACTTGGCATGTATCACTTTTCCTTTTTTGTTGCATGGCACAGCAATGTATCGTACCATCCACCATGACATTTCTTCTCCATCTAATAAATCGAATGGGCCCATACCATTGTTCTTCCCAAACAGATAGATCACATGGATTACATGGGCAACCATCCACGGCAGGGTGCAGAATTCGTGACATCTACAACTAAACCTACCAATAAAACAATACGAGGAACAGAATTTGCAATAAAATTTCATACAACCAAACCACCCGATTTACCACGAACGCTACACCACCAGGGGATCCCGATCTCATCAGAGGTTAAACATTCAACTAGTAGAAAAAAAAAACGTGCGAGAGGGTAATGGGGGCACGAGAAAAGGCTGTGTATACCGGCGCGGGGCGGGAACGAGGTGCGGGAGCCGGGGAACCGGCGGAGCTCGGCGTGCCCGTGCGCGAAGCTGCAGGTGTCGCGGGAACAGCCGCCGCGCTGCCACAGCGCGCACAGCTTCGTCTTGTACGCCGGCCCGCGGCGCGGCGGGCCCAGCATCCCGGGCGGCGGCCGATCCCCGCGCTCGCGGCTCGGGAATTCGCGCTCAACCGATCGATCGCGCATGGCGTGGGTAGGGTTTCGAGGGGAGGAGGAGCAAAGCCCTAGGCGAGTGGATCGGTGGAGGGGCCGAGGAAGGGGAAGAGGAGAAGCGTTTTTTTTTTTGTTTTGATAAACGTATCTGTATTACTCAGGTAAGGTAAACGTACACATACGCAAATGCATACAGATACGAGGGTACAGGAAACAGAGACAGCTGTCCTATCAGTTTTGCACAGAGGCCCCTAAAGAATAGAAAATCACAAGAAGCTCCCTGGCCACCGTGCTCGCCGACGGACGCCGCCACCTTCCATCTCCGGCGTTGGGAACTCCCGCCGCCGCCCAGATCTGGAGGAACTCCATCGCATGAAGGCTTTTAACGAGATGCAGTAGTCACCCGATGCCGAGGCCGGGACAATTTTGTCGTTGAAGAAAAGTCAGTCGGGGACGCACCCCAAGCTCCTCAGATCTTGAATCGAAGCTCGCTGTCGACAGGCGCCGAAGGGGGAGTCGAGCTCGATCCACACGCCCGCAGTCCGCAACACCCACAACCATCTCCACACCCTTGAGGAAGCGCGCCACCAGCACCGTCGCCTCCCTGAGACGACAGATCGGCCGAGCGCGCGGACTCCTGTACAAGCCTCGCGGACCTCGTCGTTGGCGCCGGAGGAAAACGCCACCGGTGCGAGGAAGGGGTCGGGAGGATTTATTCAACAACGCCGCCGTCACCTCCTCCTCGCCGATGGCGCCCAGAAAGACAAGCCGCAGAGGAACGCCGCCCTCCCGACAAACCCTAGCTCCACCGTCAACCGACGGCAAGCAAACCCTAGACCTAGGACTCGATCCTAATCTATATACACCCGCACGGCGATACCCTCGCCATCCTCCCTTTCCAGCACCGAACTGGTGACTGGAGAAGAAGGAGGATGGCGAAATCGGCGCCGGAAAACTGTGTCACCTCCTTTTCGCCCTTTGGTACTGTAGCAGAGGAAAGGGGAAGAAGGAGCGTGAGCGGGTTGGTTTTTTCCACAATCACGTTTCTTGGCCGATAAGACGAGAAGCGTTGATGGCCTACGGGCTAGGTAATGCCGTCCGGAAGGGCAGTTGGGCAGCAGGAGAACCGCGGCGGCGGACGATAACGAGATTTGCCTCTGACCCTTGGGCCCTGGCTGTGCACCCTCAAGAAAATGGATTACTTGCATGATAGATCTCAACAGATTTGACACTTAGCACACTATTAACATTTTTAATTTTTTATTTACCTCAATTTTTCTGTTTAATTTGACATTTTACTTTGATTCATAAATTTTCTTATTCTCTTTAACTCATTTTCATATTTTTTTCTCTTTATTTATAACTCATTTTCTATTTTCTAGCATCGGGAAATATTGTCCCTAGGCTTATTCATACCCTTAGATCGATGTACGATGAAGACCCTTAGATCGATGTACGATGAAGTTTTGTTACATTACACGAATTTGCATTAGTTTGAGGCAATCTATGTGAGGATGTATACGACGAAAGATATAAGTAGATGTTTAAGTTGCACGTATTTTATTCCCTATATACTAATATCATAAGCTTTTGCATGCCCATATTGTAATCACATTATGACACAAAAATGGATTTCAGCTTTCAAGGATAAAGGGCGCAAATGAGGGCTTGTTTGGTGTATCACCAACAATGCAAGATTTTCAGTTTTAGAGTTTATAGAATAAAATAAACCGTTTAAACATCACTGTTTTATACAAAAGAAAGAATAACCAAATTTCTCATTCTCATATCTTTGATGTGCCTATAGCTCCAAATGTAAGACTCCTTTGAGCAAAAAAAAAAAAAAAAATCGATCCTCGGGAGTAAGATAGCCCGGGCCATTGTGCTTAAGAAGAAGACATTCTCACGCAGGTCGAGAAAACCCCAAAACCTCTGCCCCACCCATATACAGCGGCACTGCAGCTCCTGTGAGACTGGACTGACCTTAGACCTGTGCTTTAGCGTAGTGCAGACGAGGAGATTTTTTCAACGCGTAGATAAACTACGCCTCCTCCGGCCAATAAATCCGCCCCAAGGGGGTTCGAACTCAAGCCGACAGGATGCAAAACGCACAGCCAGACCAACTGGTCTAGCGTTCGCTTGTGACTTCTTTGAGCTAAGGATGACAAGCTTTCGAAATTTTTACTGTCAGAGCTGTAATCCCTTCAATTCCATAATTATTGGTTTTGATAACGATGTGATCTCCAAATTATAGCTTTGGCTATGATTTTTTTATATACGAAGAAGTAGAAAAATATTAAAATGTCTTTTAAGACCAATCTATGCATGTTGTCATAGTGTCTTTAAATTATATATTGTAATAATAATCGATAATCAAAATTTTAAAGTTTGAGCTCAAAGTTGTCCAAAGCAACAAGAATTATAGAACTCAAGGGAGCATTGATTTAGAGATATTTTAAGAACCACTAATTTTGAGGTATGACGGAACCATATCATCAGTCTGTTCGGGAGGCCGTATCATATCGTGGATTATTTACTGCTGGCTGGTTTGGTGTGAGAGAAAAACACTGTTCCCGGCTGGAAATTTACGATCGTTTACGAGCAAGCGAACAGGCTGCATAAACCTATGGATATCAATCAAGATACGTATGTAAATCTACATGTATGCTATTCTCACAAAAAAAAACATTACATGTATGCTAACATATTTCCTCTTCAAAATGGATTTTTCTTTACAACAAAAAGATCAGTATCTCATCGTTAATCGTTAGAACGTGAACTATCTGAATGGCCATCAATAACAGCAGGGAACTGTTGCTCCTGTAGGATTGACGGGAACGTAGGGTTGCCATTGCCACTGCTTCGTGATTTATTTGTACCCTTCTTCTGTGAT